AGATAAGGACAGTGTACTTGACCAGACAGAGTAGAGTGTGGTCTGAGAAGGGCTGGGGTGAGGCACTGCATGGGCCTCCTCAACCCTGCCTCCCACTCCACAGCCTCCAGTAGCAGTGGTAAGCCCTGAGCCTCCTAATCTTGAATATTTGCATGGGAGCCTGTCCTCCCTGCCAAACACATTTGCAGGAGACTCTTAGATTTTTGTGCCTTAGTGTGCAGCTTCAGGTGCATGAGGCAGAATCCCTACTGGCTCTCTTTGGTACCAGATACCAGAATCTTTTGACCTAGAGATGGTAGAAACAAGACTGGGCCACATATTGAAAGCATACACACTCCTGCATAGGCAAAGCTTTAGCGCATACTGTATGTGTCCTGTGTGTGTCAGGAGATGTTGGCTGGATTGAAGCTTTGGTGGAGAATGCCAGCAATTGGTCAAGAGTGACCATATTGCTTCCAGAGCAAAGAGAGCAGCAGGATTTTTTTGGTGTGAGCTAAGGTTCTATAATTTCCATTGGCCAGGGGCAGAGTGCCAAAGATGTTTCTTCTTGTGATAGACTTGGACCAATGGATAATCACAGTTAACTTGTCCTAGAGACTGCTGAAATTTTTTGTATCTGGTGTCACCATCCTCTGTAAACATCCTAGTCTTTGTGGGTCTTGCTATGGCACAGCTGAATCTTCAGATGCTTGGATTTTTGTGGCTGCTGAAGAAGAACAAGGGTAATAGCAGAATAAAAAATGGAAAGAGAAAAAGGAAAGATGACATGTACCACCTCTACTGGGCAATGGATCAAGTTAACTCTGTATTACAGTCTTCAACAAAATATTTTTAAATGAAAAAGAAAGCTGAGTAGAATATAATCCAAGGGTTAACACAGAAAAGAGGACAGACACAATTTGAAAAGAGAAATACCAAGCTTTATATTCCATTTTTGTTGTCCATCAGACAGTGGCAGGCCCACATAAAAGTCAATGTTCTTACCAAAAGTGATCTTCATGTCCCCAAGAAGTAAGCTAGGCAACAGTTGTTATGGCTCGCATATCAGAGATGGTACCTACAGCAACACTAGTGGGAAACTACAAATGCATTGCCCAGTTGTGAGACCTCCAGAATTAGAGATTTTTAAATTGACTAAGAATAAGTGAGGTTAGAGGGGTTATTGGGTGTTTTCTTGGTAACAGTTTCTCATTTTATGCAAAACCGTTGCTTTTGTGGTTTTATCAGGGTCTCATGACATGCCTGCTGAAACATGCCATGGCACAAAGGATACTAGTTTACTGTGTCCAGGAGTTTATTTTTGTTGTCCCAGCCTTCTGTCCCACCATAGTGATCCCTATCTATCTCATCTGCATTCCAATGGACGCTTTTGTGTCAATGGAGCTCTTTGTCATTGAAGACAATCCCAGGTACAGGTGAATCTTCAGACACTTAGGCTCCTATTCAAAGAAAGCCAACACACTGTCATCCATAATCTCCCTACAATTCTTTCTCCCTGGTCCCTAAGTGACAACTTCCAAGCCCCTTCCCTAGCCTCACACACAGGAACTGCAACTCCTAAGCCTCTTCTACTGAAGTGACACCTTTCTAATCTCTAAAATTATGTAGGGAGAAAGGCAGTTGTCTCGCTGCCTGATTCTGCTGTGGGTTCAAAGGAAAAGGAGGGAGCTGCAGGTCTGGATGTGTTGGTAGAGAGGAGATTGGGGGGTGATCCTCCATTTGGAGTTATGGTTTGCTGCGCTCATATCCTTTCTGGCCCTGTGCTCTAACAAACTGACACAGTGGTACCTGCAAGTATTGCTTTCTTGTCCATAGCTTCCACTGGATACTTATGCAAGATATCTATCCACAAGTCCCTGTTCCTGTGTACTAGCATAGTGTTGTTTTTATGATGCTCAGAAACTGTTACGCTACTCTCAGTTTGAGATATACAGGGGTTCTCTGTCAGTGGTTCCAATCAACTGCAGATGGGCAATATTTGAAAACAAGTTGCATCTACATTAGACATGGGTACCCTTTTTTCCTTGTCATTATTCTTTAAATAGTACAGCATTAGCTACTCACATGGCACTTACATTGTATTGGGTGTTATAAGCAATCCAGATATTAAGTAAAGTACTCAGGAGGATTGTGTAAGTTACATAAAAATGCTATACCATTTTATATACAGGACTTTAACATACACAGATTTCAGTATACATAGAGAGTTCTAGAACCAATCCTCTGCAGATCCTGAGGGATAGACACAAAGAAGACATCTGCAAATCTAAAACTTGCTCCTTTCTAAGTTGTGCACTTCTCTACCTGGTCGGTGGGGAGATAAAGGATGGGAGGAGGACCTCTATTTCATGATGCTCACCTTCATTTGCTGTGCTTCACCTGATTTCCACCCTCTTCTCTGCTTTGTGCTCAACAAAGCCAGCGGGCAATTGCTGAAAGCTAGACTTGGTGTCATCACAGCATCCCCAAGTACTGGGTTATCCCAAGAGGCTGCTCTTATGCCTGGCTCGTTTCATAAGGGAGAAAACTGGGGCTCATTGAGTGAGGCCACTGGCACAGGATCATGCTGTTCTTGGTTTCTTTTGGGGGCTAACTGACCCTTCCTTCCCTCAGAGCTTCCGAAACACTCCTGCCACGGATAGGAGATGTGAAACTTGTGAGTATTAGGAAATCACCCGAGCCTGGGGAAGAGGAAAGGCACCAGGCCTGAAGCAACTAGCTTCCCCTTGCACCACCCTCTGTCTCCTGCCTAGCTGCCCTTTAGGAAGAAGGGGCTTTTGGTTCTTTGGGGATGCCTGTCTTGTACAAAGTGCAGGAAACATTTCTGAGCCTGTTTAGTCTGACAACCTCACTTGCCTATTATGGGAAGCAATCATATGAAAACTGCCTCACATTAATAGAGGGGAAACTGCACAGGCTCTGGAGACAACCTGGCTTTGGATCCTGATTCCACTCTGGACAGTGTTCTCTAATGTCTCTGTGCCTTGAGGGAATGAATGGCAAGAGAGAGGCATTCTGGACTCAGGTATATGTCAGACAAGACCTTGCTGTACAATCTGTTTGCTAGGAAGTAGGAGGTAAGCAAGCAGCTGCATCTCTCTGACCCTCTGTCTTCTCTTCTGTAAAGTAGGAGCAGTAGCTGAGCTGACAGCACAAAGGTCTCAGCACACGCTCTGGCACAGAGGTAGATCTGGGTTACTGTACCTCTTAGGCTTGCTACTATGATCTTTATTGTTACTTGGGATTCTGAGCTGCAGTGGCTATCTTCTCACTGAGCTCCATGGATTGCTCATGTTGGTAACAGTTATTGGATAATTCTTCCAGCTGAATCTAATATTTAATAATAGCTTTATTTTTAATTTCTGTTTTTCTGTTGCTTTTTAAAATCTTCTCCTGAGTGGGTTATCATCATTTTAAAAAATGTTGCTTTGATTTTAAGTGTGATTTGGAATGTTCCTTTCCATGGGTGCTGTGTGTTTTTAGACAGTCTGATTGATTGAGGTCCAGAATTCCCTCCTGTGTCCTCCATCTTCAACCCTCTGCTTAAATCCAAGTTAATTTACGAATGTCTTCTTGATTACTCTACTTGAAAATGATTTCTCCCTCATTCCCTTCAAACAGTTTCTATGTTGGTGATTTGAAAAATGAAGCAATGAGAGAGCTTCGAAATAGCAGGGCAGTGCTTGATCAGTTGCTGAGTGTTTTTAGATACCATTCCCTATGAAGAACACTCGGGCTGTACTATCTTGATCGAGGCCCACAGTAATCTTTGCAGGGAAGCTGTAGAAGATCACTCTTATGGACTAGTGCACACCTCTCTGGGACTAAATGTATACCTCACTTAAACTCACAGCTGGTAGTGAGACAGACACACTGTAGCAACAGCAAGGCTTCTCAGATTGTAAATAAGATGGAAAACAGGCATGGCCAAAGCTATCCTTGAAAAACCTTCAGGAAAGCACTAGCTCAGGTGCCAATGTAGCATCATTCAATAAAGGCAATAGGGCTCAATTCTTTCTCAAACACTGGAGCAAATGACTCTCTCTCTCTCTCTCTCTCTCTCTCTCTCTCTCTCTCTCTCTTTCTGTGTGTGTGTGTGTGTGTGTGTGTGTGTGTGTACATGTATATACATATAGAGAATTGGATAAAGTAGCCTGCTTTTGTTCAGAGGCTGCCATATTTCACAAGTACATTTGCCTTTAAATATAGACTCAGCAATTACCAGTGGGTTGCTCAATCTATGAGAAGTCTGAGACTGGTGAAGAAAACAGATTTCCATCTCCTGTTTCCGGGAAATGTGCTCTTTGGCTAGAATCAATAGCTCATGGAATACGTGTAGCACTATGATATATTGGCATTGTCTTTAGCATCTTTTCTTTACAATTTTTCTCTTTTTCTCTTTTAAGTATGTTGAGATAAATGCATCTACTTTAAAGTATAATTCCTCTTCACGAATACGGAAACTGAATTACCTAGATTTTAAAAGCTTGCCTAAGTTATACAGTGTGGAAGCATTCCCAGCAGAAACCGAGCCCAGTTCAGCCCCCTGTGGCAGCTTGTTTAACTCTAGCTGTCTGGCTCACTTGCCCACCAAGAGCTCACTTGCCATCACAGTACAGAAGAGACTTAAAGGCATCCCAGCTTTTGATAGAAACTGAGGGGTGGTAGGCAAAGAGGTTTGAAGCATTAAAGTGTCATGTTCTTTCCCACCACTGTTCGCTAATGTGAGAAATTGTCTGTGTTTTAGGTCAGCTGTCAAAAGAGATTTTTATCTGCAAAGACTCGGCCCAGCAGCAGTGTGGTGGAGCACTGTGGGTGCTCGGCGTTTTCTTGGAAATGTACTTGGACTTGCTTTGCAGTTCAAGTCCTCTTCACTGCCCCTCCCAGTAGGCTGTTGGTGCCTGGAACCAATGGGAATTACCAGCCCTGTCTCTCAGCATTTCAAGTCCCCAGTGCTAGGCTTCCTTGTTTACTTATTTAGAACCCAGTAGAGGAAGTGGTAAAGGAAACTAGCTGAGTCGTTTTCTGAGAAGAGACCATATTTGTTCGCAGAGGAAGCCGTTGCTTTTTGGGATCTAGCTAGAGTAGAAAAGACATCTGCTCCGGCAGGGGTGTTTCTACTCACTAGGAATTGGAAAAGCCAAGCACACCTCCCAAGGCTGAATTTGGGGTTCTTCTCTGTTCATGGGTGCAGTGCCTGTGCCCAGCCTGTGAGCTTCCTCCCAGGACAGCAGCCATGGCACTGAAGAATGTGCCCTTTCGCTCAGAGGTCTTGGCCTGGGATCCTGACAGCCTTGCTGACTATTTCAAGAAGGTGAGCCTTGCTCTTTTGTCAGTGGTTGGGCCGGTGTTAACCTCAGTGGGCTGGGCAGAGGCTTGAAGATGGAATTCGGATAGAACATGGGAGACATAAAAGAGTAGAAGAGTACAGTACTCACTCTGCAGCGACTTTACTGGTTGAGTGAATGTCAAGTAGACCGCTGAATTCTCCTGCCAATATATTCTACAGAGTAGGATAGGACGGAGCTTTCACAAGAGTGTGTGCCTACTATGCGTGAGGCTCTGAATTGAATTTTCTATTGATACTGTCCCATTAAATATTCCCGCTGTCTGAAGAGGTCAGTATTTCTTGTTGGCTGTCCCATAAAATTAGCTCGTGAGAGTTAAATGGCACGAAGCCCCCAGAGGCCACATGCCATAGAGGCAGAATTTGAATCATACCTGTCTGGTTTCAAAGTTTGTGTTTTGAGATGCAGAGTGTAACAATTAATGGATAAATGTTACTTACTGAAAAGGGGAGACACAGGTCCTGAGGGTAGGAGGAAAACACAGCAAGAAGGCTGGGCAAAGGACTGTGATGAGTGCTTTTACATATTGCATTTGGACTCTCATTGCTCATGGCCATGAAAGAGGGGTCCTCGAGCTCCTACAAGCTTGTTCAGTCAGTATGTTTTTAGAGGTTTATGATGATCTTGGGAGGCAGGCAAGAACACTGGTATGAATACCAGTACATAGCTTGGAAAACTGATGTTCCTAAAGGAAGAGAGGCTTATCCAGATAGAATCAGAAGCCAAGAGTACAGTAGAGAAGGAACCAGAGATTTTCTGCTCTGCCTCCCAAGGTTGCAGTAGACTCAAGTGTCCTTGTGCCTGTTCTGCACCGGTGAAGACCACATATTGCTTGCACAGATCTCAAGCCATATGACTTGATTAGAGACTCTATACCTGCCATGGGGTAGTATGGCCTATGAGAGAAATTTGAACTAACGCTCTCATCTCTGCAGAGTGGCATAAAACGCGGTTGATAATCTGGACTGCCATGAAAGTTGTGAACCTAACAGTCATCTAGCAGTCATCTAATTCAAGTTTTTGCTTTTCCTAGAGAAACTGATACCCCTGGGGGTGGAATAGACTCCCTAAGACACACAGTCAAACCTAGGATCTATTTAGAGCCTGGTATTTACATTTACAACTGTTCTTCCCCAGTCTACAGAAGGAAATGTGAGCACATTGAACCAGTTAGGGGCACAGTCCACAGACCTTGTTGTTTGCCTCTTTTGTGCGTTTCATTTCTGTTATTTTTTTCTTCACAAAGTCATCATGAACTTAGCTTTTAACATTGTGGGTGCAAAGGTTGTTGGGCAATTGGCTTTTGAGGGGCATTTCTAAGTACTTTTCTTAAAGGTAGACCACATAAGTTAGGCAAAAAAGTGAAACTTGCCAATATGGAGTCAAGTTGCGTATAGACTCAATAAAGGAAGGAGAAAGAAATTGATAATTATGGAAGGAAATTCTGGAAGAGGTGGAGAGGCACAGACAGGTCTCATCCTCAAAAGTGACCAGAATTATATAACTCAGTTGAACAACAGAATCTATAGGTTGAGTTCTCATCAGAACAGGGAGATGGATCACAGGCCAAGGAAGATACAGAGAGTCACTGGCTTATAGCCCTGTAGCCCTGTACTTCTAATCCTGTCTATGTCCCCAACCCACTATGTTTCCTTAGGTTTGTCTCTTGTCCTCTCTGGACCTCAATTCCATCCTCAAAGCCAGCTAACTGCCCTAGATCAGTGCATACCCAACCTCTATGCCCATAAGGGTGCTTGTTAATAATACAAATTCTAGGCCTTAGGCCCAGATCTCGCTGCAAACATGTAGATTCCAGTCTGCAAGACAGTCTGCAAATCTAGATCAAAGCCAGCACCCTGCAAAATTGACAGTTCATCTGATAGTGATGACATTGAAAATATCGAATTAAAAGCAGTTGACTATTTCAAGAACTATTTACACCTTGTGCATGCAGAGCAAAGAGAGGTCAGGGCCCCACAGACGCTGGCCTCTAAATCAGCTTTCTGAGGATGGAGTCATGCCACCCTTTCACATCTAGAGGTGACAACGGTTGTATTAACGTTTTGCATTTCTTGGCCATAAGACAAGAACTTGATTTTAAACTTGGCCGAAAGAAGTCTACAACAGACTGTGAGGCCTAGCTTTGTGAGGAAAAGCTGGAATCCTCAGGGTAAATATTTAACCTTAAATATGCCAGACATCAAACTTAGAGACATTTTAAGTGCAAATACATATGCTCCTGAGGATGAGTGGAATGAACACTTCATATCACAGTCCGCTGATTTTGGACCATAATCAAGATCTCAAAAATGCACAGGCCTACTGATCCTATAACTAACTCTATTCTGATATTCTTACTTAAAATACCCTCCCTTTCTTCCCCCCTCTCTTTCTTTCTTTCTTTCTTTCTTTCTTTCTTTCTTTCTTTCTTTCTTCTCTTTCTCTTTCTCTCTCTCTCTTTCTTTCTTTCTTTCTCTTTCTCTCTCTCTGTCCCTTCCTTCCTTCCTTCTTTCCTTCCTTCCTTCCTTCCTTCCTTCCTTCCTTCCTTCCTTCCTTCCTTCCTTCCTTCCTTCCTCCCTTCTTCTGTTTTGTGTTTTAAAGCCAAGGTCTTACTAGATAGTTCACGCTAGCTTTCAACTCACTCTGAAGCCCAGGTCAACCTCAAACCCGTGGTGATTCTCCTGCTTCAGTCTCCCAGTGCTGGAGTTAAAGATGTGTGGCATGATGCCTGGCTGATTTTCTTAAATACAAAGAAAAAATTATGCAAATGAAAATTTACAGTGGTCTATATTTTGATCTGGATGGTGTATAATTATGCTGTACTTACAGTTCTCAGTTCACTTACTATATATTGTAGTAGTTATTACTAAAGGAATTTTCCTGACCAAAGACATTTAAAGCCATGTCCTCAAGCCCAGTTGTCACCTCTAAGACTCACACAAGTTATTTGACTTTCTGTGCCTCTCATTCCCCACCTGCAAAATGTAAGGATTAAATTACTTAAGATTGGTTTAAAAATTTGGAGCAATGCCTGCCGTGTAGAAAGCATTCTGTAAAATGAGCAGGTTTTATTATCATTGTTGGAACAGGAACCTGGTAAACAAACTAAATGTTAAGTAATGAGGGAGCAATTAAATAATTTCGTGACCATTAAGGTAAGTTTAGTACAAACCAGGCAGTTCGTATATTACCATTTTAGGTAATTTGAGAGAAAAAAAAGTTAGGAAACAAAATTGAATATAATCTTCATTATGTTTAGAAAAACACTAGGATTAAGAGGACTAAAGGAAACACACACAGTGTTCACCAGGGCTGCCTTGGTGGGGTGGGGCAGTTATTTGCTCTCTTTTGTCAGCTCTATTTTTCTAGGCATCTGCGCCAGCCTCTCACTGGGGGGCCTTGAAGGCAGTGTTTTCCTGGAGGGGCTGGCCCCAAAGCCTCACACTGAGCAAATTCTCCATTTTAACCAGTCCCAGGAGGTGGTGGGTAGTGAAAGCTGGGCTGCGGTGGGGCGAGGCCCCTCTGTCAGACAGGGAGAGAAGGGTGGAGGCTGGTTAGCCGCCATAAGGGCAAAAACTGCTGAGCTTCTGGGCAGGCGGGAGGGCGCGGACCAATGACGGGGAGCCCGCATGGCCCAACCTGGCTGACAGCACCTCCCCTCTCTACGCAGCTGAACTACAGGGACTGTGAGAAGGCCGTGAGGAAATACCACATTGACGGGGCTCGATTTCTGGTAAGCTTTGGCTCGTGTGATATACTGAAGTCAAGGGCATTCTGTCCTTCTCATTATTAGCACCCCATGGCTGCAAGGCCAACTGGTCTGTCTAGTCCCCAGGGTGCCCATGGTCAATGCTGTCTTCAGGTACAGGGTTTGGTATGGCCCTATCTTACATCATGTCTCGGAATTCTATGTTTGAGAAACATACACTTGAAGCCACAGTATAAAGAAGAAAATGCATATAGCTTTGTAAAAAAAATACAGATCCTGTAAGTGTATTCAAATGCCACCTCTGAGCTTTTTGAGGAACCCAAGGAAGAGGAAAACATATAGAACAGAAGATTCTTACCTGGTATTTCTCACTCTGGGGCAAATACTGACTGAGTAGATGTCAGGGTGGAATCATTCTCATTATCTCAACTACTTCGCTCTTCCTCCCTGTCTCAAATGCATGTGATACCGCCCCCTCCGTCGATTATAATCCAAGGAGCTTGAAGTGTGAGGCCCAGGTACAAAGCCATGTTAAGGGTCGAGCCCTTAAGGGGGAAGGGATGCGGCTCTGAGGGTGGAGACAGAGGCCTTGGCTGCGGTCCGGAAAGTGGTTTGAGTGTTTCACTGGAAGCAACACGTTTGTCTGTAGGTTAAGAGAGACCTTGGACTCTACCAAACTCATCCTTTTTGAACACTTTGTTACCCTTTTTAAAAAGAAATGTAAGAAGACTTCAAGAATCTCAGGGGACTAGATGTTTCCAGATTAGATTCAGAGTAAAGAGGGCAAACTGTGACATAGGTCATGAGACATAGTAAGGGATCTTGACAGTGAGATTTCAGGCTAACTGAAAGGGACTGAGAGGTCACATATTCCCACTTCCCTTCCAGAGTGCCAATCTGCTTTGTATGTATGCATGTATGCATCTTGTAGTGCCAGCGATTGAACCCAGGGCCTTTGCACTGAGCTATTTCCCTTCTCCCCCACACCTTTATTATTTTGAAACAAGATTTGGCCGAGTTGCTAAGTTTGCCCTGCTGGGCTTGAATTTGGGGCCTTCCTGCCTCAGTCTCCCAGAATGCTGAGATTATAGGCAAGCACTACCACAACCTATGACCAATTCAATTCTTCTGTTGTATTCCTGCCACCAACATGTGCTTGAATTTCTTTAGCAATTGTGAGCCCACTACCGTATATAGCCCTGTCTTTTCCTTAGTCCCTCTGGAATTTCACAGAGACTTGTGGCTGGCCCTATTGGTCTCAAATTTGCTTTCTGGGTACCATGTTAGATGCATTTTTCTACCTAAGATGTACTGTTCTACCTAAGTTATTCATTTAGTCACGGATCATTTGTCTGACAAGCTCTTTACTGAGCTCCTTTTCATACTGATTTTTGCTGTGTGCTGGGGATAGAGAAATGGTGAGACCTGACTCCTACCTTCCAGAAGCCTGATGTATTACAGAAAGGTATCTTCAGTAAGGTTTCCAGTCCCCTCATTTACAGAGGAGAAAACAGGTGCCAAAATGTGATGAGATTCATTCCAAGTTGCAGACCTGACAATGGATCTAACACATACATTTAATTTAGCCTAACACTGTATGAGTTCTTAATATTGTTACTTACTTATAGTGAGTTTTGAGTAAGTGGAATTCCTGGAGGTTTGTGGTTGCTATTCTTGCAATTACTACTGAAACTCAATTGTTCTTTCTTGTCACCTTGGCACCAAGAAAAGAAACACCACAGCAGAGTGAAAAGGGAAGAAGACATTTCTGGGTCACCTTGAAAAGACACCTGTTCTCTCTGATCCTCCCTTTTCTTCCTCACCTGGAGATGGAGCATGTTGCAGTGGGTCACAGTGGGAGATGGCTGCCTGCAGCTCTGTGACTCACCTAACAGCCCCTGTGTATCATGCCTGATGGGACAGGACTTGGTAGAGAGATGATCTAAGGAGTTATGTATCCTCTGATCTAACGTCTAGAATCTATTAAACTTTCAGAGAACACTACGCATTCTGCTGATTCCATGAATGGGAGGGAATAGAAAGAGAGGAGATAGGAGCCAAGAAGATAGGGACAGAATCAAGTGTGTGGCCCAGCACCGGGGTATCTAAAGAAAGCTTTTACTGAAAGTCACCCTCCACTCAAGAGCTCTGGGTACAATTTGGAGCACTTAGAATAAGCTGTAATTACTCATATATTATGCCTTTTAGTTCTGTAATATCCAGTGTCCATCTGTTATTAAAGGTAGTAGAAGAGGCTAGTGGTTTTTCCTTCCTTCCTTCCTTCCTTCCCTCTCTCCCTCTCTCCCTTCCTTTCCTTTTTTCCTTCGAGTAGGAGCTAGTAGGTCTCCTGAATCCTCCTGCTGTACTTGTTTTGCACTAAAGTGAGAATTTTCTGGTGGGGAATGAGGCTGCTATGCAATCAGTAGGTGTGGGAGGGGAGAGAAAATGTGCTTTGAGATCTGTGGTGGTTAGGAAGGCCTGTGGCTGCCTGTCATGGAAACCTGAACACTGTTTGCAAACAGGGGCTGGTCTTTCTCAAGTAATATGTATAGACGGCACTTGGGGCTGATGAGCTGCTCAAGGAACTCATCAAGAACACAGGCTCTGGTCAACCTGTGCCAAAGCCCAACGCTTCTGCTACCATGGTTCTGAACTGGCTGCTTTACTTCTAGTGTCATAGCTGCAATTCTGGCAGGAGGAAGAAGGGAAAGGCAAAGAATAAAAGTAGTATGGTGAATCTCTCTCTCTCTCTCTCTCTCTCTCTCTCTCTCTCTCTCTCTCTCTCTGAGAAGGTACTAAAAACTAAAAGTAGCAACTTTTCTGGAAGTTCCACTCAGTAGACTGCAGTTTAGATCTCACTGGCTGCAAGGGAGCCATGTGAACCCACCATCTGCAAGGGAACCTGAGGAGTTTAATATTTTTGAACAAGAGCATTTATTGCCTGAACAAAATCCAGGTCCTGACAGTAAGGAAGAAGGAAAGAGTGCCTATGGAATAGTGAGCGGCAGTGTCTGCCAACTTGCCTTTCCAGCAGGGCCCTGGCATGCAGCTCACCTGTCTTTGTAACCTTCTTAACTACCTGAGCATATAAATACCCATAAAACCACAAATCTGACTCCAAAATCATCACACAAGTAGCTCAGAGTTGGCTGTATTACATTTCATGGCAAAGCTCTCCAGAGCCCTCCTTTGATAGTTCCCATTTTTTCTCCCAGTTCTTATCCCTTTTCTACATCCCTGTTCTTTCCCCTGCTCCTCTGTCTCCAGTTATGTTCAAGTTCAACTTCCCCTCTAGTTCCGTTCGAACTTGCCCCAGCCTGTGTCCTCCCAGCGCTGCAGGAGCTGGTGGCCCGCCACCTAGTGCTTAGCTATCATCCCTCGGGAAGCTTTGACAAGGCCTGATTCTCCCAAGACTCTTTACCTCCCCACACTGCCTCAGGTGGTGGGATGAGAGGTCCAGCCAGAAACTGCTCCACAGGGCTGGATCAGATGAATCTAACGAACACATTACCAAGATGTCCCAGCTGCATTCCCTTTGAAGATACCACGCTCTAACTGCTCCTCATCCTGGAAGACTGATGGGAGCCCTCAAATACTGGTTAAAGTACAGGGAACAGATCACAACATGGCCAAATTTAGCTCACAAACCAAATTCACTTGGTTTCACACATTTGGTTCTCATCATGTTTATTCATCGAAGTGAGTTATTTGTTAACCTTTACAACTCTGGAAATTTTACATAAAACCCACATTTCAAGATTCTGTTTGAAAAAGTAGACCCTAGCTATTCTTCGGGCTGCTGAAGTTGTTACTGCTCTTGGTAATTTCACATATTAATCTCCTCGCATGGCTCAGTGCCCTTCCTGTGGCTTATAACTTGCCTGCCATGTGTGTCTTCATTTCAGAACCTAACCGAAAATGACATTCAGAAGTTCCCGAAGCTCCGGGTTCCGTAAGTATTTCCTCTGATTCTGTGGGTAGCTGGGTGAACAGATTACAGTGGGAAAGGGTCCGGGAAACCCAAGTCAGTTCTATGTTACCGTTGGTTTGAAGTAGAAAATCAGTAAGGAAAGGTGAGAAGAGGGGCCATGTATGATAAAGAGAAGTTAAATGATTAATTATGAAAAGGAAGTAACAGATCCAACCCAGCTGGTGGGTTGGCTGCTCTGCCCAAAGAGAAGCTCCACTCTATTGCGTTATTTCCTGTCTTCCCAATGGGGTAGCTTGTGCCTGTGAAAACAGTACAAGTCAGGAGACCTGAAACTTCACCATCCATGCCATCATAGACTCAATAGTGACCTGAAATTTCTGGACCTACATTTCCAGCTCGGTAGAAAGAGAGTTGAATTTGCTGAAGGATGTCGTTTTGTCTGCTAATACTAACTTCTTAGGGATGGCTGCAGGGTGTTATGCTGAGGATAATCTTGAGGAGAAGAAACCCTGATTAATTACTAACGTTTACTGTGGATGCGGAAATGGAAAGTTGAAGCGTGCATATCTTTACATGTATTTCTCACTGTCTAGTAAAGGCGTTACCTACTCGAATCCCTGGAGAGCCAGTAAAGTGACACAAATACATAAAATAGACAGGCTGAAAATGGATTTATCTTTCATTTAGTGATTTATCCTTCATTTCACTCCTTTGAAAAAACATGACTAAGGAGAAATATTTCTCCGCTATATGGAAAATAATATGATTATGATTATTTTAAAAAATTAACCAAAATAAAGCCTCCCTGTTGGTGAAATGAGAGGGAATAAGGGGCTTGTGGCAGCCAGATATCACGTGTTCTAGTCAAAGAGTGCAGCAGGTACTAACTCCGGCTCGTGTGAATTCAGCTATCTCCAATCTTTGAATTTATCAGTAGTAACTAGAAATATGGGTTTTATGTGACATATCTGTTTTTAAGTGTTAGTTCAACTCTCTTTAAATATTGTGAAAGTCAAGTGAACATACTTATAAACCAAATTTTCTTGCGATGTTACCAATTTGTTTTTACCAGGCTGGGAATTGAACCCAGGGTCTCGAATGCCAGGCAAAGACTCTATTATTGACCTACATCTCCAGCTGTCCGGACTTTATTAGTTTGAAACATCTATTTTTGACATTTTCTGAGGTCTCATCTCTTTTTCTAAGGGATTCAGGACTCATAATGATTTTTTAAAAAAAGAAGGCCAACGGAATAAGAAATTGGAGAGTCTCATGAGTGGGGAGGAAAACCAGCATAGCTTAATTAAGGAAAGTATATTTAGAAGGATTATTAGGTTTCCCTTTTCCAAAAGGGTGAAGAAAAAGAGAGGAATAAGGACTTACTTTGGAGCTGCCTATTTCCAGGGACAGTTGTTGAAGATTGCTTGATCTTTTTAAGAATTTTCTCTAACCACTTTTGGACTTTTAAAATTTAAATTAAATTTAAAAATCAGTGCTACAGAAGCACTAGTCTTTCTCTCTCTCTCTCTCTCTCTCTCTCTCTCTCTCTCACACACACACACACACACAAGTACTAAAGTAGTTCCTCCTTATTTATGTTTTGCTTTCTGTAATTTCGTTACCCATGGTCAACTGCACCTGAAAATATCGTAACAATAAGATATTTAGAGACAGAAAGACTGATCATTCACATAATTTTTATTCTAGTATGTTGTGATTATTGTTCTATTTTGTTGTTAGCTATTTTTATTAATCTTGACTGTGCCTAATTTATAAATTAAACTTCACTATAGGTATGTATATATAGGAAAAATGTGAATTAAAACAAAGCCAAATATGCATATAAGGCTCAGTATCACCCATGTTTTCAGACATCTACTGGCTATGTTGGATTAACATACTGATAAATTTAATACACTGATATGAACCAGACCTCAGCTCTGAACACATGAAACTTTTGGGGAATACTTTATATCAAACAATAACAGCCTTACTTAAAAAAAAAACTATTCTTTTACATAGCAAATCTTGAAGATTCAAAATAATCAAACTGTTTCCAGGCAACTTAACTACATCCTCAAATGAAAATATAAATTACACACACACACACACACACAGAGTAATACAAGGACATTCATTATCCAAAAAAGTACAGTGTTCAGAATATAATCAAAGAAGAACATATATACTAAATAGTAGGAAAAGATGACCCATAATAAAGGGGAAAAATGACGTATCAAAATTGACCCATGAATGGCGCAGATACTGGCATTAACAGATAGGGTCAATATAGCTGTGGTTCATATGTTCAAAAAGCTAAATTGAGGCATAGGACCTACAAACAGACCAAAACAGAGCTGCTAGAGATGAAAAAAATATCTAGAATTGTATCTGATGGAATAATGTCTGAGATGATAAGTAAGCTACTTGGGACTGATGATAGATTCGACATTGCAGAAGAGAATGTTAGTACACATGACACAGCAGTAAGAACTAATCACAGTGAAACAGAGGGGAAGAATTGTAACAAAACTACAAAAAAGAGCATCAGGAAACTGTGGGGCAACTTCAAATGGCCTAATATATGTATGATTAAAGAACCCGCCCAGGCACAGTGGTGCTTCATTACATAATCCCAGCACTTTGGAAGAGTAAGGCAAGAGTTTGAGCCCAACTTTGGCATCTTTGTGATTTAACAAGACCCAGTCTCAAAATAAAAAAATTAAAAAGGGCTGGGACTGTAACAGTGCAAAGCTCACTCCCTAATACTACAAAAAAAAAAAAAAAAAAAAAAAGACAGTTTCCAAAGTACAGTAAAAGAGTGTGCATATGAACAAGGGAAAATACACAGAAATAAACTGTTCGGTGAAATTATGACTAAAGTGTTCCCAATATGAATAAAAACAAGGCCACAGATTCAGCAAAATTTAAATGCAAAAAACAGAAAGGAAACTACCTCCAGGCATATTTTAATCTTATTGCTCAAAACAACCAGTTAGAAAGAAATTAAGCAGGAAAAAATTCTTAAAGTAGGTCTGAGAAGAAAAGGACATGTTACGTATAGAAATAATGCAAGCAAAAGACAGGGGGACAATATTCTGAAGTACTAAAATAAAAAGATTGTCAGCCTACAGTTTAATACTCCAAAATACCTTTTAAAACGGAAAATGAAATTATTATTTTTCAGACATACAAAATGTGAATAAATTCATCACCCATTCTGACTTGCCCTACAATTATTTTTCTTTATTTTAAGTTTTTTTTTTTTTTTTTTTGGTACCAGGGATCGAACTCACGACCATGTGCTTGCAAGGCAGGCACTTATACCACTGAGCTAAATCCCTGGCCTATTGCCCTACAATTATTGTTTCTTTTTAAAAAAAAGTTCTTAAGGCCAAAGGGAAACAATGCCAGACGTTACTCTGGATCTGCACGAAAGAATGAAGCTTGCTATAAATAGAAACTATATTGGGGTTTATAATATGCATACTTGGCTCTTGAGGGCATTTGAGTTTGCATTTTCTGGGCTCCATACAATCTTAGAACTTCATTTGAGCTGCTCCTGGGTGCTCCTGGGTGCCGACTCTATGTCAGGCCTTGATTAATGATAAGATGAAGGAAAAGATGCCTATCCTCAAGACACTTACACTCTAAAGGGAAAATTGGACACACAACCAAAGCAATTATATACACACACATATGCATTTACAGGTTCAATGGGGAGGGAGGGAAGAGTGTTTCTCTGTAGTATTTGGGGAAGATACCTGGGAAAATGAAGCTTAGCTACATCTTGAAATGTGCCAGGAGTGATCAGATGAAGGATGGACTGCAGAACATTCTAAAACAGGAAGCATATTACAGAGTCCCAAGGTGCCAGTATGTTTGGTAGAATAAACTGTGGGTCAGAAAGGCTGTGGGACATACACAGGGAAGTGGAAAGGAGAGAGTCTAGAGCAGTGGTGGTGAACTTATGACACACATGCCACAGAAGCCTGTTGGTATCATTGAAAGCTCTAAAAGGCTCACCATCCCTGGCCTAGAATGACTGGTCATTATGTATGGGTCACAATTAACAAAGATTCTGTGAGCCATGGCAGGGGTCTAAAGGCATTAGTGAGGTGTGTGCAGCAAGGGAGAGGAGTACCAAGGTAGACTTGTATCTTGAATCTGCTCCAGGAAGTATGAAAGATGACTTAGAGGAGGGCTCAGCCGGAGTTGTGGGGTCAAGCAGCAGGTAGGAGTCATGGTCCCATTGAAGAGATAGGAGCTGTCCTAGGGCTATGGCTATCAAGATGGAGAATTTAATCAGAGCAGTAGAGGAATGGAGATAAAAGAGGCACTTTCAACCGGAAGGTCCTCTTCACCTTAAGGCTCACCTGAGCTAATATCTTTGAGCCATGTTTAAGTGCAAGGAGAAGGGAGTGGAGGTGACAAGTAGCCATGAGATAATATAACAGGAAGAGTTGCAACACTCTCCTTGCTGTTGGGCAGGGGTAAGGCTATCTCTTTAGCTATTTGGAAAATGAAACAAAAACTTGGCTTGTGTCACAGTGCCTTCCACTATGTTTGAATGCATACTCCAGATAAACCATGAGGCCAATCCATTTAACATGGAGAGTTAACCTGATGGGTGACGGGGGGGGGGGCACATCGAGAGAAGATACAGGATATCCCAACCCCTTTAGAAGAAACATAGAGCAAGTACCTGCTTCAGTCTCCTGATAAGCTAAATGACCTCAGTTTACCAGACAAGAAAAATAAAGCATCATTTATGTGGGCTATATGTTTTAAAATACTACTTTAAATATAAACAGACAGACAGGAGAGCTTAATGAGAAATGCAGACCCTGGGGTCAGCCTACTTAAACCTAATGATTCCACTGACCGGCTACAGAGTATGGGCAAGTTTACCCAGCTCCCTGGCCAGCTTCTTCATCTATGAACTAGGGATAATAGTAGAACCTACCTCAAAGAGCCAATGGGAAATTGGAGTAAATAATAATAATATGCCCTGAATAAGTATTAGCTATTGTAGTATGAAAAATCTTGACTTGTGTAATTTCAGATTTTCATTAATTATTTGCTAGAGAGGGAGAACAATGAATAGGATGATCTTAGGCCTTTGGGGTAAGAGGAATACAAACGTCAAATCTGACTTTGGCTCCTGCTAGCAGCAGGACCTTGGGGGAAGTTACTTCGATAGTCTGAGTCTCAGTTCCCTCATCAATGGAAGTGAAAACAACTCACAGATATTGGGAAATATTAAATGATCAGAATTTCCTGGCACTTCCTTGGACTCAAAGCTGTCCAGTACCTGTTCATTCTGTTTTCTTGTACACAGGTTGATATGTCTTGATTGTCACCTTAAAGGACTATGGACAGAAGTTGTGTTTATGTATAGTAAACCAAATGAAGATTACACTCCTCTAAGTATCTCTATTTCCTTCCTCAGTGCTTGAAAAGTCAATATTAAATGCATTTTTGGAAGAAGGCAGATTCTGGTGAGGAAGCTTATCCCCCTCGCCACTTCTCTGTATTTCTGCAGATATAGGCTGTGTGTCAAAACATCTTCAGTATTGTGGTACTGGAAGGTTCCTAAAGAAAACAGTGTGATGCATCTATTTATAGGGCCAGATTAAACCTCATGGTACACCTGAGAATGATTTGATGAAATTGGTAGAATACATGTTGAAAGTCTGCTGATTCCTATTTGGAGTTTATTAAAGGAGAAAATGCTACAATTTTACATTAAAATTCACAGTGTACCTTAAGAAAGAAGGAGAGGGTAGTACCTGGGTGGGTGGTGTAGGCAGCAGATAGATATTAGACAGCCCCTTGTTAATTCTCTCTGTACCCATCACCAAAAGTGAAATCAGGTTGGGGAAATCTGAGATCCCGCAAGAGAAGTAAAGCAGAACTTCATCTATCTCCAGATGAAGCTGTGAGTCTCCTAATAGCAGTGATGGCTTCCCGTCTCATCTACCTAGTACACCATTTTCTATCTGAGACAGAGAAGAGAGAGTAGAGGAAGAGGAGAAGGTGCCGAGGAGGGACTCAGAAGTGAAAAAGAACATTCTTATGTACCTGGAAGGATAAAACCAGGCCTCAACAAAACTGAAACAATTACGAGGCCTTTCTCCAACATGCTCCCTCCTTCACCTCCTCACCTTCCTCAATCTCTTTCATCCAGGGTGCTGTCCCACAACTGTCACTTGGTTTCCTCCCAAGCGAGTTCAGAAAACTTGCCTTGGTGGCTCAGCTCCACATTGACACTGGTCCTGTGGTCTTTGACAAACACCTGTCAGTGTCTCACCTTCTTTGGAAAAATGGGATTAATTATATTTGTTTGACCCTCGCATGGTTTAAGGCACAAGTGAAAACTGTAGGCATGAAGGACACGGGCAAGAAGTGGGGACACCATACTGCCCTCGGTTATTACTTCCTGCTCGTGCATGATGCTCCTCTGAGACATAACATGAAGATCAAAGGCCCTTCCTAAGTCACAAGACAGACGTCTTGGCTCCTCCCTGTCTCTTACTTGACAAGAAAGAATTTGAAATGTTTGACTGTTGGCTCAAAGAGGCTGCTCTATTGAGTCTTTTAAGGGAGAATATGTTGTTCCCTCAAGAAAGGATGAAATGCAGAGCAGAGAGAAAGACTGAACAACTATGTAATTGGAGGAGGGAGGGCTGAGGCTGAAGAGCTGGTCATCATACAGTGTCACTTTCCTGCAAAAGCCTGACTTCCTGCCAGAGGTTCAGACCCATTTCCAGGGCCAGCACAACTTGCAAATAAAGGGGAGCAGAGGGAACCACTGTCTACGGCTGCCTAGCCCCTCTGATTCTTTTCCTGGTGTAGAGTGAGGCCTGGGGTTTATGGAGCAGAAGGGGGTGGGTCACCTTCGGTCACTTACTATCACTGGGTCCTCTGGAGTTGGAATGCATCTTTTGCAAACTTGCACACATAGGTAGCAGCCACCTCCCCACACTGCTGCCAACCCTGCCACCCCACCAGCTGCTCTGGCAGTGATCCTGCTGGTGGAAAGCATTCTCAGCAGCCTATCAAAGCAGGAGGACTCTGGGAGCCCAAAGTTTGCTGCAAGCTGGACAGCGGGGCCCCATCCTGCTCTCAGCTCTCTGCTGCTCTTCTGTGGGGCCTGCGGTTTGGCATTTCCTTCCTAGCCCAGTTAGAGCCCCAGCAGCCCAGCCTGGCTGTTAGAGATACTGGTAAGAAGTGCCACCGCAGAGAGCAGGAGGCCTTTTCAAGATCGAGAACAGCGCTGTGAGCCTGGCAGAGCTCAACGGAGCTCTGTGGGATGGGGGTGTGAGTTGAGGCTCACCCACCTACCTCAAGTTTTTGCTGAAATATCACCTCTTTGTTGAGCTCAGATTGTTTTAAATTACAGTCTTACCCTATCCCTCACTTCAGTTTCGCCTTTGCAGCGCCCTCCCTGTACCCCGCTCACTGCGTGTGTGTATACATGGTACACGCTGACTGGATTTTACCTCCATAACTACTTCTTGTTTTTTTGTCTGCCTCTCTTTACAAGCCTTATGCTCCCCAAAGTAGAGATCTTTTGTCTGTTCTGTTTACTGATGCACCTTGAAAGCTCAGCAGGGTTCTTAGCATGAAGAAGACCCATTGTTCAGTACACTGGTGACCAAATGGAAGTGGCACTGCAGCCAGCACCACCAGAATACTGCAGGGTGCAGGGCACTTCCAGGGCTTCCCCAACCACCATGCCATAGGAGACCTTTGGCATACCCATCAGCTCCCCTTTAAAGGAACCAAAACCAACCATGCAGGCATTGTGATGGTGTGATCAGGAATGGACCCAGAAGTAGGCCCCTGACCGCTGTAAAGGACCTCTTCTACTGGGTGGTCTCTAAAGTCTGAAATTCCAACAGAGATTTATTGTGGAGCGTTACACATTGCCCTCTCTCTTTCTTTGTCCTGTTAAGTCCTCTGTGTGTTGATCACATCTGTCTGTCCTGTCATTCCTGTGAGGTAGAAGGGTTCTGAACACCAGTTACCTGGGAGGAAGTCAGGGAGCTGGAGGTGGGAAGGGAAGAAGGAGGCAAGAGCTGCCTTTGCTAACTGAACCATCCTGAGATGGCCATTAAGTAGAAGGAATATAGGTCACAGGCCATCTCATTGATGGACTGAGACAACAGTGTCTCCTCACGGGGAGCTTGAAGCATAAACAGAATTAACACAAGGGCTGGATATGTCGGGAGGATGTTGGCTTGGAAATTAGAGAGGCTGCTTTTTGGACTGATGTGTGTCAGGGAAAGATAGGTGGTCCTCAGCATTAACCTACTATATCCCTTCTTTTATCTGGAGCATTGTCACTTCTCCTGTAGAAAGAAAAAAATTATTGGACCACATCATCTCTGAGATCACTTCCAGTCACATGAAATCTTTCCTCTGGGTCTCATCCATGGGTGTTAAAGGAAGCTGGGGTCTCATGGCTTATGAGTTGGAGAATCTAGAATAGATGGATCTAGAATGTGGGGCATGTTTTGATGGCAAAACCCCAGCCTATCCTGGAGCCTGGAGATATGCTAATACAGACATTGTAGTACTTAAGGACCGGGTATATCTTCAAGGGTCTAGGCCAAGACTGGCCTACGAGAATTGGTAAAAGAGTCCCTCCTTCTGCATGTTGTGCTCTTATTGAGAGTACTTGTCTAAGTTTCTGTGAGAATCCATGTCACTAGGTAGAGACAGGGAGGGGAGAACGGACAGTGATAATAGGACAAAAACAGTCTGCTCCCAGTTGTGCTAAGAAATAAATGCAATGGACACTTGGGTCCTTTATGCCTAGGAAATGTTCTGAGGATGTCTGGAAGCAGCATCACCACAATGATTTTCAAACAAGAGTCACAAGACCCAGTCCCAGGAGTAATAACCCAATCTACTAAACAGCTATATTTTGCAGATCCCAAAGCCCAACTTTTAAAAGCAGGTGGATCCAGGTATGAGCAGATAAGTCTTTTAAGGGGAAACACTGAGTAAAACTTTGAACAGTCAGATGCAGATAGCAGAGAAGGGAGAGGGCTACTTGGGCAGGAGCAGAGCCAGGCAGTGCAAGGTCTGGTGCTGGGGAGTGAGGTGATGTGTTGTGGCAGGAAGTGAGGAAAGCCCTTAGAGCTGAAGATATGAGACTGGCCAAAGTTGGCCCACTTGCTCTGTGGTCACATAGACTAGGGAAACTCAAGACTTTGCAGGAAGCCCTGGACTGGGAAAAAAAGTTGTCTTCTCATCTGTCTCTTTATCTTATAGGATTCTCAGTAAGTTAAGTCAAGAAATCAACAAGAATGAAGAAAGGAGAAGTATTTTCGCACGCAAGTGAGTGGGGCAGCTCAGGGCTCGGTGTTGCCAAACTTTTGAACCCAAATTGAACCTTAACATGAAGGCACAGAACTGGCTTGTCTCACTGTTTGATCTTTGGTGGTTCCCGGAGTCGCAGGAGTCTGAGTCTTGAAGATGGTGCCTGAGGAAGGGGAAGGGACTCTTTTCCTGCCCTGCCTCCTGCCACAGGGTCTGGAACATTAGGGGAACTTCCCCAAGTGTGTCAGGCAGTCATAAGCTACAAGTTGCATCACAATGTGGATTTGGTGGTTTCCAGAATTTGGGGGGCAATCTAACTCTGCTTGCCAAGCAACAAGGGCACAAGCCTAGGCAGTAAGACATAGCCTCCCTTAGGGACTCCTCTTATGGATCTGAACTGGGGCAAGAGAGAGCTTTCTATGCCTCAACATGCCATTAATATAGTGTTCTTTGCCTTTGCAGACCCCAGGTCCAGCGGTTTCCTGAAGAGACAGGTAAGGGTATTAGCATTGGAAAGTGATTGCTTTGGGGGCGATATATATTAGATTCTTTTGCCTTCTGGTTTCTGAGTCTCCTAGGAGTTTGTGCAGAGGAACATTTGTCAGCCAGTTTTTACTCAGAAAATGCTTTGATCCAAATGAAGGGAGGGAAAATGCCACTCAGCTGGGCACCTGGCTTTAGATCCCTGTATATGTAGACTCCACTAAGAGACACTGAAGAACTCTGGAAGCTCTGAGCCTATCAAGACTCAGCCTTTGACTGAGCACCAGAATGAAGCCATTCCCCTGCTCCTGAGGCTTTAAAAGTTTTCCACTGTTAACTTGGGTGTAGTGCTGATATGTAGAACCGGGCCCTCTAGTGCTACTGAATCAGAAGTCCTAGGGACGGGACCCCAGATAACCACATATTTTGAAACACTCCTAGGATCCCTAGATGACTTTTATACATAGGAAAAGATTTTATATATAGGAAAGATTAAGAACCCCTGTTGCACTGAATAGTTTTATACTATTTTGTTATGTTTGATATTATCATGTGTGAAGGTATGGTCAACCATTTCGAAGAAAACAAGAGACATTATGGTAGACACTGTTGATATCCTGTTGTCTTGTTGTGAAGTCCTGTGTTGCTTGCATTGTTCTGTTCTGATTTGCTTTGTTTTGTTTGTTTTATTCTCTTTAAAATAAAAAAAATTCCAAAAAAGAACCACTGTGGCCCTATAGTAGAATAGGTTCCTCAGATAGAAATTCTATGGCTAATAGTTAAGTTGCTATCTTAGTCTGTTTTCTGATGCTATAACAAAATACCTAAGGCTGAGAATTTTATAAATGAAGGAGGTTATTTAGCTCAGAATCCTCAAGGCCAGACCACAGTGTTGGCAACAGCTCCGCTTAGCAAAAAATCACGTTAAAGTAACCGAAACAATGCACACTTGCAATAACTAATCCAATTCTTTGGTGCTTCCACAGAAAACCATGAAGAGGACAACGGGGGCTGGTCATCCTTTGTGAGTATGGTGTGGCTGTTCTCGCATCTTTACAGCAGTGTCCATAGTGGCTTTGTAATAAGAACTTGACTTCATGCTTGAGGAGCAAGGTCTCTAATAAGATGTTAGAGTGCCCATCCAGGGCTGAGAGGATGTGTAATGCAAAGGACCAAATGGTGACTTCGTTCAGGTTGGAAGCCATAAGGTTCTGCCTTTGCTAGTCAACTCTGCCATTCTAACACAAATGCAGCCATAGACACTGTGCAGAAAAGTGCTTTTGGCTGTGTACACATGAAGCTTCATTTACAAAAACAGAGTGGGCTGGACTTGGCCTCCAGGTTCTGGCTCACTGATCATACCATTGCTCATCACTGTCAACCCAATAGCAGCTCCTTCTCCCAATGCCATGCCGTTTCTAAAATTTTTTCCCTACAAATCTATGCTAAAGTAGCTCTTATTGTGAACTTTAATCTCTATTGTTGGCTCAGAGGGAAAATAAGTTTAGTGGGAAGGAGTTCCACTCCAGTTGGTTTTTACATTTGAGGATCACAGTGACCCTTGCAGTGTCTGATAGATTTTATACGTCTCCTCCCACAAAATTGCATGTAGTTACTGCCCATGAAACTAGATCCAGGCTAAGAGCTCTGTGATAGATGAAAGCTCAGTCTGTCCATTTTACAGATGAAGCAACTGGAGAATATGCTCTCTCCACTGGAGAATATGCTCTTTAGCTAATTAGAGGCAGACATGGGGCACAGGCCAACTGGCTCTCAGTCACATGGTCTTTTTTACCCCTAGTGAGCTTATAAACCAGGCATAGAACGTCCCTTGTCACATTAGGAGTGTGGTAAATGGAAATGTTTCATTTTTTAAAATTAGCAAAGTTTGTGCTTTCTGTCAGAACAAGAGAATATAACAGATTATTTTGTACAAAAGACAAAAGAAGGCCAGAGTTTCAAAAAAAAGTTTGTTTTTGCACAGAAGCTGTTTCTTGGCTACTCCTGGCCAGGATCCCTCCTGAGCTCAGCCCGAGGCTGGGCTTCCATCCTTGCCCTTTCTATAAACCAAGGGTTTCCAATCACTGATGGCCACGAAACTTGGTAGTTCCATGTGTATTCAACTCTGCACAGAGGACTACAGGGACTGCAGAAGGACAAACCCAACCACATGAGTGAGCATCTCACAGTGTGGATAATGCATGTGGCAGAATGTGATTGACAACAAAAACATACATATATATTTAAGCACCAAATGGTTGTGGTAGGTGAATCATAGTGTTAAAAGCAGAAATTCTGTCATTGATAAAGGCTTATGAGACTTGTTGAAAGTTCAAAGCAATGGGTCTCGATTAGACAGACAGGGAAAGGAGAATGTTGTCCCAAGATGCAGGGACTAGGAGGAGGCCCCTTATGTGGCTGTTAGTCATTGCTCCAAAATCCTGTTCTTTTAGGGTTTGGTCCACCTGATTGAGAAACCCAGACAGAACAGGGCAATGCCTTTTTCAGAGTTCAGTAAGGTACTTAATCTTCGTTTTTCCTTTCTAGATTAAAAAAATATATATATTCCTTAAGATAAAAGTGAACACACGAATCTTTCAAGTGAGCAATTTGAAGAAACTCTTCTCTAGCTGTCTATGAAAGTTGAGCTATCAGTGCATGCCTCTGTAAAAAGTTGCAGCTTGCTATTGCTTTGTTTCATATTGCCGTTAGTGTTAGAGCCTCTGGCATGTTTATTTGCCCATGTGACTTTGACATGACAGCAATAAGTCACGCATCACTCGGTGGCTGATGTGCCACATCCATGAGGACAGCATTGCAATGACTGGCCACTTTCGTGGATTGCTTCAAAGACAGTCACTACTACCTTGGCTTCCTATTCCCTGAGGCCCACAAATATGTAGAAAATAAAATAGTGTAAAAAATCTAAACTATCAGAAGTCTTTTCCAAGTGTACATCTTCAAACTCAGTGCCAGATATCATGAATAATAAGCTGTTATTTATATACACTCAACTCTTAGCATAAAAAACAACACAGCCATGAACCATTTTCCCCTCAGACTCATCTTAATCTGCTTCCCATGGCTGGACTTGGGTTTTCTCTGTTTCTCCAGTAACTGAGCCTTAGGTGTTTCCATCGGTTATGATGAGAGGAAATTTTTGAGCACAGACACACTAAGAATAGAAATAGCAACTAACAGCTGAACATGCTAGCACATGCCTGTAATCCCAGCACTTAGGTGGCTGAGGTAGGAGGATTGCCACAAGTTCGACGCCAGTCTGAGCTACATAGTTAGTTCAAGGCCACCATAAGCTACATAGGAAGACTCTGTCTCAAAAACAAACAAACAAACAACAACAACTAACTAGTTTTGTCACCAATGCTCCAAGTATTTTTTCAGTTTTTATTTTTCTATTATACAGTATATGTTTGCAGTATATAACGATCATGTTCCTTGTGAAGAGCTGATACATACTGCTTCTTTATTCCTTTCTCATCCCTTTCCATGTTCCCCATCCATCTCTTGGTCCCCTTCCTTTTTGCAAAAATCTATCTCCCTGTTTCCTGATATCTAGTTTTTATTTTGCTCTTTGCGTATATTTGGAGTTTTTCATGTAATACAAACCAAGTGATTTTTAAGCTTTGATGTGTAGTTTATTTCACTTAACATTATGGCTTCAAGGTGCGTTCATTTCCTACAAATGATTCAAGTTTATCTTTATGGCAGAGCAGTACTCTGTACAGTATAAATACAGCATTTACTTTATCCATTCATCTGTTGCTGGACACACAGGCTGTTTCCAAGATTTAGCTATGAACAGTTATGCTGCTATAAACATGGGAGTGCATGTGTCATTGAATGGGATGCCATTAACTCATGGGGACGATATCTAGAAAGGGAACAGCTGGGTTGAATGGAATTTCTAGTTTTAGTTTTGAGGAACCTCCATACATATTTCCATCTATTCTTCCTCTTGATGATGCTGAAGTAAAAAAAAAAAAAGTTTATGCAGGAGAAATCCCCTTTCTCTATCCCCACCCCAGCATCATCTTCCTTTCTTCTTTTCTCCACTGTACATAAAAAAGTAGGAAAAACTCAGCAGCTTAATAGTCTGAGACCTGGACCAAGATCCCGGGTCCATGACTTGCTGGCCTTGTGATGTTGCTCTCCCCAAAGTCAGTTCTTCAACTGTACTGTGGGAGGCACCATGCTTGGGCTGCCAGTCCCCAGGGCAGTGCCATACAAGATGGAGTACTGGGCTGCTTCTACAGGCTGTGCTGTTCCTACACTATGTTGACAGGAAGAAGATGACTACGAAAGCCCCAATGATGAGCCGGAAGAGGAGGATGATGGCGACTATGAGTCCCCCAATGAGGAGGAAGAAGTGCCTGTGGAAGATGATGCTGATTATGAGCCGCCACCCTCCAATGATGAGGAAGCTCTGCAGAACTCCATCCTGCCTGCCAAGCCTTTCCCCAACACCAACTCCATGTACATTGGTAAGTGCTGCTCCCTGGCCTTCCAGCCCTGGCAGCTCCAAGCCTAGCTCAGCATTAGAGTGTGGGGGGCTGATGCCTGGTGCTGAAATCTGGGCACCAATATCTTCTCAGTTTCTTAACGGTTATGTGGCTTTGGACAAATGACTCTGCCTCTTTGGGCTCCAGTTTATTTGGTGAAATAGGGTAACAATAATACACAGTGCATATGTTTTCTGTGAGCATTATAAAATCATTGCCTGCAGTGCCTAGTATCAGTACTGAACCCCCATGGAAGCGTGTTTTATGGTTGTAACACATTTGCTGGGTCACTCAGGTACTCCAGAGTGTTTTTCTGTTTCTTCTCACCTTTGGACCAAATCATAGTTAGGTGGCACTGCCACCTACAGACTGTCAGAATAAAAGTAAAGGTACTGAATGCAACTTTAAAACATTTAGATAAGCTTTAAGATTTTCATCATCCATTTGTTTCAATCAACCCATTTCTCTGTCATTGATTGATTCATCCACTCAATAAAATTGACAGATTTTCTATTATGACATGAACATCATTCCAAATAGTGGAATCATCAGGAAAGAAAATACAACTTCTGCCTGGCAAGGCTTATATCCTAACAGTTGTGATGACAGAACACACACACACACACACACACACACATACCATGCATACTATAGGATCAGGGAGTCAACTCAGTGGCTGATTTTCAATAACACACACGACAAAAACAAAACTCTGATACACTTATTCCTTTATAATGTTAAATGCTTTGTAATTTTAAAGTTCTTTCCTAAACCCTGTCCTAAGATTTCATTTTTTAAAAAGCATCCTGTATGATACAGGTAACATTGATCAAGTCGGCTTCATACCTAGGGAAATTGGGGTCCAGAGATGTGGAAAACTAAGTTCTTGAGTATCTCATATGTGCCAGTTAGAGACGCAGGGATCAACGTAGTCCTAAGTCTAAAAGAGTCATAGTCTAGTGGGTGAGGGAATATCAGATAAATGAGTCACACATTATTTAATTAAAGCATGAAATATAATTAGGAAACTGGTTTAGAGATGGCTTGTTTCCCTTATCATATGGTTATTAAGTTGATATTAAAGAATATTAAATATTTAAGCATTGACTAAATGAGGGGAGACATGGAGAAGGAAGAGCATTCAAAGCTGAAGTGGTTATGGCAAAAGCCCTGAGGTCTGGAGCAACTTGGTATATTCAAGAGGCTGAAAGACAGCTCTTTCAGCTGTCAGAGACGAGAGCAGGCTAGCCCTCACTATGAGCTCTCTCTCTCTCTGAAAGAGTCAGTCCTCTCCAAGACCTATGTAAAGTCTCCCATAGGACACCCATGCAAGAAGACCAGGCTCCCTTGCCTCTCATGCTTCTGCATCCTGTCCCTTCCCCATTGAAACAATAAGAAGCTGCCAGTCTATGAAAATGCCCTAAGGGATAGGTGTGTGGCTGTCAGAATATGTGTCATGTTTCTGTACAAGGCCAAACCACTGAAGATTATTTGGCTCAACAGAGTTGGTGACCAGCTCCTTCCTATAAGGGAAGAGATGAGCAAAACAGGAAATGGAAGGGAGGAGACAGCCGAGGGCATTTGTGAGGGTATGAGGGGAAGGACGGGACACAGAACAGGATCCCCATGAGTGGTAACAGCCAATTTAACCCTGCACAGGCAGCTGGCTGTGCTGCATGAGTGTGTGTGTGTGTGTGTGTGTGTGTGCGCGTGTGTGCATAGGTGTGCATCTGTGTTGGGGAGTATGTGTGCCTGTGCAGACATATATATGCACACATGTGTATGTGTCTGAGTGTGCATGCATGTGTACACACATGCACTTGCATATTTTGCATGCAGAAGTATATGAACATTTACTTTTTCACAATTTTTTCCTAAAAACACTCCCTTTCAGTGTGAACTAATTCCTAAGAGATCTCTTTTCACTGGCAACATCTCCGGTGAGAGATGAAATAAGATGAGAATTGCTCATATGCACACAGAGAGTAAAACATACTTGGACAGAACAAGGGACAGGCAGGGGACCGAGGATCGGCCTCCTCTTATGGGAGCGAGGCCGGGTTTTATGGTTGGGTGGGTGGCAGTCAGGAGGGTGAAGCTCAAATGTCCTTGGTGCCCTGAGTTGCCCAGTGTCGAGGACAGCAGCTGTTCCCCGAGACCCTGAGTTTGGCTGGTGTTCACCCTGGCTTCCATTTCTCCTCTCATTTCGATATTCTTGTGTTTTTGCAGACCGGCCTCCTGCCGGAAAACACCCCCAGCAGCCTCCTGTGCCACCCCAGAGACCAATGGCTGCCCTTCCTCCACTGCCTACTGGCCGGAATCACTCTGTAAGTCTCCTCCCCTTCTCTAGGGGGCTTTGTGTCCACTGTGATTATTCCTTCTGCCAGACAGAAAATAAAATTATAAACATCTTTAATTCTTACTCTGTAGGAAAGGATTGTCCCTAGGCTAGGAAAATGCCTATCTGAGGACTCAGTATTTCTATTCTGGCATTGAAATACTAGTGTTTTTTACTTACATCATAATGCTTATTGGCATTTTCTTTGTACCATATAAACTACTATATAAGAAAAAGTCCCCTTCCAGTATTCCTTGTGCTATGATTTCCCACTATTTGCAATACGCAAAAACTGTAAAATAAACTTAAAGAGAAATAAATTAAGACCCTGGCTTTTAGATATTGCTTAGGTCCTGAGCCTTCGGCTCTTTCTTGCAAAAGGACTTGCGCCACCTTCTGTCTAAAGTCTGACATTCCAGGTACAAATGCCTTCAGATGACAAGATTTGAGATACAAACAGTCCAAGGGAAACAGGAGGCATAGACCCCTTTCCCTTTCCCTCAAGCATACAGCACAGCGCCTGTGGTTCTGATACATTTTCAGAGTGTCACTGAGAAGCTTAAACTAAGGAGTTGATAACTAGAAATGTGACCTGAACGTTTTTAAACTTAATTTAGTTTAATTTAACTAGCTTTATTTTGTTTTATTTTTGAGACAAGGTTTTGCTAGATAGTCCAGGCTGGCCTTGAGCTCACTACGCACCCCCAGGCTGCCTGAATCTCACAGCAATCTTCCTGCCTCTGCCTCTGGAGTGCTGGGATTACAAGCATACACCTGGCAGTGACCTTCATATTTTAATAACTGTAACAGATGCCAAAGTATCAGGACTAGAAGGAGAGAGATGGTATATTTTTCCCCAAAGCTCAAAATTCAGACTGTACCACAGTGAGGACCGTCTATCTGAAAATAGGTGGCTCGCTCCTGCTGGGTGGCAATATTGAATGGGTGTTCCTAGAGCCAAATTTATCTACAATTTTTGTTGTTGTTGTTGTTTCGGAACCTGAAGACCTTCACCTCCATTCCTGGGATGCACAACTGATTCAATCAGCAGATAACGATCGGGCAGCTACTGGCAACCAGGCAGTGTTCTGGGTGCTGGGAACGTGAAAGACAAAAATAAAGTTCCTTGTTTTAATGAAGAGTTTATTGGGCCAGAGGGAAACTGAAAGAAGGAAGGAAACAGCTCTAGAAATGATCTGAGTAGTTATGTGTGTGTAGGGAGACAGAAGACCAGGGAATGTGATGGTGGTTAGAGAGGTGACGAGGAGCTGGAACAGAATAAGACATCTGGGGAAGAGCTGGGAGAGAAGCATCAAGTTAGGCAGAAGAAGCACAGGCACAGAAATACCCAAGAGGACATGACGTTGAGATTTTCCAAAACCCTCCAAGACACCTATATGGCGGGATCCAGTGAGCCTGGGAGAAAGACACAGAATTGGACTGGAAAGGTGGATGGGCACCAACTCAGACAGGACGCTGCAGGTCGTGGGGAATTTCCAGTTTGTTTCTAATATAATCAGAACCACTGGAGGGCTTGGCAGGGACTATTGTCCTAGAGAAAATCCCCTTTCTGAGTGAGGGAGAAATAGCAAGCTCAGATAGGAGGCCGTCACACAGCTCTGCTGAGAAATGCAGGTGGCCGTATGCTAGTGGAGTCTGAAGAGAGAGGAAAGTGAGTATGCTGATCCATACACATTTGGTAAGGTAAAGTTGCTAGGTCTCACTGATACACTGGAAATGCTTCTAACACTTGGATATTTTTCTGTGCAGCCACTGCCCCCGCCCCAGCCCAATCAAGAAGAGGCGAGCAGAAGTCGAAATAACAAACCAGCAAAGCGTAAGCATGAGGCTGCTCACCATCCCAGGCTCACCCTACCCCTGCCACTGGCTTTCTTCTTCTGATTGACTACAGCCTTTTCCCTTCCAGTGCCTCCTCCATCTATAGACAGAAGCACAAAACCTCCCCTAGATCGTTCTTTAGCTCCACTGGACAGGGAGCCCTTCATAACAGGTATGTGTGATATTTGATTCACAATAATAATGGCTCACATGTGCAGAGTGTTTGCTATGTGCTTTTCTTATACACAATCTCATTTAATTAGCTCCACAGTATGAGGAAGTGGAGGCTATGAGAATCAGCGTGATTTTACAGATGCAAATGAGGCTAGAAGAAGTAACTTCCCAAGATCACCCAGCTACCAAGTGATTGGGGTAGAGACGTGAACCCAGACAGCCTGATTGCAGAGATCCTGCTTTGGGCCACGGCTGCTTCCCCATGAATGTGATTTATGTGCACACATCTCACTGTCTTTCAGTCAAGACATAACAGGAGGCATTATGGTGCAAAGAGAGGGAATGAGCTCAGAGATAAGAGGTTTGGGAGGGTTGCCTCTCCTTGGCAGGTAATTTACAGAACCGTGATCCAGGAGCAGCTCTTTTTTCAGGGCACAATTCCCTTATTTGTAAGGAAAGTGTTCTGAAATGCTTTATGAAACACTGAGGTATATCTAAGTGTTAAAGTTGTTTCTGTTGATGTGTGGGTTTGGCTAGACATGGGGCACACTCGTCTTCTCCCTCCACAGTTTACACAGACTATTCGGACTCTGGCCACTTCCACATGGAACCATTTTCAATTTGGTTCTAAAAGCTACTATTTATGAAACACCTACTATGGGGCAGGTACTTTACTTACCCTCAAAACCTTATCTAGATTTTCTCTCCAGTTCTTCTAGCAACCCAACAATAGGATGTATTTTTTTTCAACCTCTCAGATGATGAAACTGATGATCAAAAAGACTGAGTGATTTGTCCAGTCTTGAATAAATATTTGCAAAAGTTGAACCCAGATCCTTCTGACTTCAAAAGGAGTGCTTTTTCCCACAATATCATACTGCAGTTGAGGAACTCAGGTTTTAATGTGCTGTACAGTAGGTGGGTTTGAGGAAGGAGCCCTGAAACTAAATGAGTGAGGAATCCAGAATCCCAGATCCCCTTTGACAATTCCTTAGCTGTACTCAGCATGGTGTATAACCATTGTGGTCCCCATCTCCTGCTCTGTTAGCAAAATGACTCAGGCTTTGGATTTGAAGCTGCTGCTTGCAGCCGTTTGCCTGAATTGCATCCCAGCTCTGTGTTGGTGTCTGTTTGGGTTTAGCATGGTTCACTGCAGACAGCTGTGTGAGGTCTGTGGAAATAAAGATGGCATAGACTTCAGACTCTAACCCTGTTCACTGCCTTGAGCTGGGGCATCAGGCATGTGGAATACTGATGCCAAAGCCTTCACAATCTTCTCCTGACATACAAGTTATATTTTTATTGTCTCTTTTTTCTATTTAAAAATCCTTTCATAAGGACTCTGTTGCACATGAGTCCTTTCCTAAAAATATTCCTTGACTCTAGAATTACTACCTTGTTCAAGATGTTTTGGAAGAATCCTCTGCTGATGCTTAGATTTTTAACATGAGACTCCTAGTATGCTTAGAGAATATAAGTAAATCAGATTTTTAAAAATCTATACATGCTTGACGATATAAATGTAAGTTTTAAGGTACTCCTTTAAAATATGCATTCCACCTAAGCTAAGCTTTGTATATAATAAACATCTTTCCTGCCATCAAAACATACTTCAGTTAGCCAGTGAGCTCTTCACAGTGGACAGTGTTCTTAAGACCTTCCATGTGCTTGACACATTCTACAGAATAAATCGTGTTGAGAAAATGCATCTACAGGCAGATGGTATGACCATTCATCTTAGGGTGTTAACTGTGCTTACTTTGGGAGGGAGGGAAAGAAAGAGGATATAACTAACATCTTTCAGTACCCACTCATCGCATCCAGGATCTTCCATACAAGTTGTCACGTGACCCTTAGAGCAAACCTATGTAGATTTCACCTCTCTTTACCCATTTACAGATGAGGAAACTACAACTCAATTGCTAATTAGAGGATGGATTTTTTTTTTTTTTTTTACGGTACCAGGGATTGAATTCACGACCACATGCTTGCAAGGCAGGTGCTTATGCCGCTGAGCTAAATCCCTAGCCCTCAATTGCCTAATTGAGCGAGATGTAGTGTTGCATGCTTGCAGATCCTGCACTAGGAAGGTTAAGGCAAGAGAACTGCTGTGAGTTCAAGGCTAGATTGGGCTACATAAGGAGATCAAGTCAGCCTGAACTCCATAGTGAGACCCTCTCTCAAAAAATCTGTCTCTGTTGAACTTGAGGTTCAGCATCATGTATGGGACTCAATTAGTGATATTTTCATTATGTGGAAGGCAAGGGTGTAATTCTGTGGGACTTCAACTCGAATAAAAATTAAATTACTTTGGTAACTTGGCCATGCAGAATTCAGGAAGGCTGAATGTCATCTTCAAATAAAAGAAGCATACAAAAAAAACCCACCACTACCAATAAAAAAACTGGGTTGTTTCAGCAAATCAGGAGAGTTTCCTAAATTAAGCCACTCCCCCAGGTTAAGAGATGTTTAAGAAACTAGCTGGAGTACTTTACATAAAGTCAACTGTACCACAGAGTTGGAGGAAAATTAAGTTTTCTGTTGCACATGAGTCTATTTCAGATCTGCACGTAAAATTGAGGTCATGCAAGGAACACATTTGCCAATAAAAGAGACACAGAATCCCAAGAAAACATAAATCTTTTGATTATCATTTATTTTAGGTAAAATGTTGAAAAGTATGGAACCCAGAATACACTACCATAGGGTTTGTATGTACACAGAGCGATGTGAGCTTGAGCAAGCCAGTCAATATTTTTGAGCCTATAAAAGTAGGTGCTTTGGAAGGGATTCTGGCCAATCCAAAAATCTATGATTCTTCAGTGCTTACATTTAATCAGCGCCCCTCTTCTCAAAGTACTCTGGTTCACGGTCTCATCTAACTCGGGTTTTATACCTCGTGATTATCATGTCCTCAATTTAAGGGCCTACTGTCTGTTGTTTACAGGAAAGAAACCAACTTTTTCTGACAAGGTAAGCTGTTTTTCTGGTTTATTTTTGGTTTTGGTTTTGGGGTTTTTACATCTTGTCCCTACTCTCCAGGAAGTGTTTGGCCACTCACATGTTTTTTCCTCTGCTTTGCAGCCCTTGGCTCCAGTGGCGAGGTAAGATGCTGTGTTGCCTCTAGGGGTGGCCAAAAGGCATCTGCTGTGGAACTGTGCCCAGGTAGTTGAACTTGCTTCTTATACACCCTTCCTCTGGACTCGGCAGGATTCCCGGGGACCATTTACCCAAGACACAAAAGCCTCCTTTACCGCCAGCCACGGAGAGACATGAAAGAAGCAGCCCCTTGTCAGCGAAGAAGCCACCTGTACCAAAGTAACTACTTTGTGTTGTTTGAATTTGTCCTTCAAACAGAGTGGATGAAATGGGAATTTGTCCTACGTCAATTCTACAGGGACCCAGAGAATCACACACTCCCAGGCAGGCAGAGGCCCTTTTTGCTGCGGTGGTTTAAGTGGTACCTCAGATTGAATGTCAAGTTCAAGGGTCTCTTTGAAGAAGAGGGGACTCTAGCTGAGAAACGAGCAAAGAAATGCGTGATTGGCTGTGTGGGACAACTGCTATCTGTGGAGAGCTTTTCTTCAATCAGTCCAGTCAGTGCTGGGTTTTTCCTACCCAGAAAGAGCAAAGCCTTTACAGTGCGCAGGAACTGAACTTACCACTATGTTTCTCAATATGGGTAGCAGAGTAGAAAAAGCTGGGGAAGCCTTTCAGGTCAACATACTGTCCAATACTTTCCATAACTGCAGAATCCTGAGGTCTGCTCTAACATTTCTAACTCAGTTATGAAGTCATTTGGGTCCTATTTACCTAACCGCACAAATGTACCTGGTATCTGGGCCAACCCCACTGTTTAGGAAGGATACAATCACGCTTCTGCTTATTTCTTCTAAGCAATTGTAGTTTGTCATGATTGCCTTGCTTGACCAATGGGAAGATTAAATCAGGACTAGGGGATAGGGTATGCCAAAAAAGAAAAACCCTCAGTAATGGAGTTTACTCCATTAAAATAATATTTTAAAGCATTATTTTTAAAAACTAAAATAAATGCAATTATGACTGAAATGTCAAATTTTTCAGTAAACACAGCATGAGCTGATGAGACCTGACACCTGAGAGGTGTTTCAATAAATTGTCCTCTTCTTTCCTCTCTCTCTCTAAAAGTGTGATGTGGCCCAGGTGGTACAGATGTCTGCTGCAGGACTCAGACAGCTGTCACCAAATCTGTTTGACTGGCTCTTTCATCTGAGCCAACTGTACCAAGTGCCTTCTGGAAAAGTCTCAAAGCAGTAACATTTTCCAACTGTGCTCGTTCCTTCAAAGGTGGACCCTGCGATGGTTGCTTTGAAACACTAGCAAAGAAGAGATTTACCTAAAATGTTTTCATTTGCTGCAGAAATAGCCACTCAGTGAAATCTAATAGCTGCAAGAATTAGACTGCTGACTACACACATATACAAATATATATATATATATATATATATATATATATACACATATATTAGTTATACAGAACAAAGGTTTGCCTAGCTCAGCTTGCAGTGATGACAGAACATTCAGTAACCAAATCTCCCTTCCACGCCCTCTCTCCTGGCTTTCTGCTGGGATTTGCAACTTTCCCTGAGCCCTAGCTCAGAGGGTTTGATTTTTTTAATGAGATTTAGGAAATTATATTCAAGGCTGGCTCTTTGAAACTCTTGATGCTTACTTCTTTTTCTTTGCCCTAATTCATTTCAGGCACGGATGGGGAGTAGACAGAAGAGATAATGTAAGTACAAAATGTTATTATGTAAGTGCCTAGGCTAGGGGGAACCAGGGTAGGCTATGTGAGGTTTGGACTGTAGCGTATTCCTCTTGGATTGCACACGACGGGCTCTTGAATAGAGGTCCTGTGTCTTTTGGGTCTTGGTCTTTCCTGAAGCCCATTGTGCTGCACTGGCCAACTCTCAGGGAAGCTATGTTAATTGGAGACCTGTTACCATATTAGTGAAATGAAGGGACAGAAAGTAGAGGAAATCATAAAGTAAGGGATGCCTAAGAGTCTGTGTGTTACAGAGTTTCCAAAGACTCAATTTTCTTTTTTAGTTTCTCCATGACCTGAAAAAAAAGTGATATAGCATTGTTAAATGCTCCTGTAGAGTGACCATCAATGTTCTGGGGCTTTCTCAGTGCTTATAAGCATTTAAAGTCCCACACCCAGAAGCTTCTTCAGTCTCTGGCAAACCAGAGAAGCTGATCACTCCTAGCCTTATTTGTATTTTCTTTACATGCAGTGAATCTAGGCAGAATCACCCTTTCTCTATAAATGAGAGGAAATGGCTCAGAAAGGGTAAGATATTTTTCTCAATTTGCTCAGTAAACAGCCAGGATTTGAATTCAGATCTCTCTGAGTTTCTCCACACTTGAAGTGTTCTGAAGGTTCCTGCCCTTGATCAAATGCTCAGCTAGCAATGGCTACTGCTTTCATAGCCCTGTGCTAGATACTATGTTTGTTCAAATGGAGCGTTATGCTATTATTGTCACAAGCTCCCCCACCATGCATGCTAAACAGCATACAACCATAGAATGACCTGTGGAATGGGAAGAAAGTTATGCATGTGGGTCAAGGAGCCAACAGTAACTTCTTAAGGGAGGTGAGATTTATGGTGGCTATTGAATGATGGGGAGAACACGGAATAGAGTCACAGTAAAAGGAGATCTGGGTGCACTGAAGAATAGTAGCTGGTGTACAAAGATTCAGAGTCCCAGTGGAGGAAGGGAAATAAGGGCAATATCATATTCCTGAGGTTTCCAGTTTCTGGAAAGATTGATTTTTTAGGAGTTGTATATTCTTGAATTAGAGGGGCATCATTGTAACAGTGTTAAAAAGTGATGCCCCTTGGGGCTGGGGATTTAGCTCAGCGGTATAAGTGCCTGCCTTGCAAGCAGGCGGTCGCGAGTTCGATCCCGGTACCGAAAAAAAAAAAAAATGAAAAAGACAAAAAAAAGTGATACCCTTGTGAGACTGTGAGCCTACGTATATTTATTTATGTAACTCCTTGTTGGGGCTCTGAGTTGGCCCTTTGAGATGAGTGATTCTGTCATTCTCTTTGCTTTATGTTAATACATTGTAGGACCAGTGTCAGCAAACTTAAAGAGCACTTAACATAGGCCAGGCACATGCAATTATTGATTTAATTCTCACAATACAGTTTGAGGAAAGTGTTACTTCATTACCACTGATGTGGCCTAAAAAACACATTCAAGTTGGCCTTTGTGGTCTACTAGTTAATGGTAAAAATCAGTCAGTGTCTCTGAATATCATTTCTTATCTGAGGAAAGAAAATTGGCCTTCCTTTATCGAGTTCGAAAGGTGCCCTGAATATAAAATTGGTGAGGGTTGCAGATGCCCTTTAGAAACCACACTATAAATAAGTAAGGGCATACAGATTTTAACAAGTGTGGGCATTGCACAGGAGAGACCAAAAGAAGGCTGAGCTTTGGGCCAGATAGATTTGAGGTTGAATCCATTTTCTGAAACCATTGGCAAGTAAGGAATAGTCTGTGACCATCCTGTTTCCATTTGTAAGATAAAGACATTACACTCTCAAAGGGTTGCCAAGGAAATTGAATAAAATATTGAATATGATTCTTTTAGATACATCATATATACTATAAATATTTATATCTTTGAACCCTGTTAGAAACTTCAAAACCTATTTCAAGATAACTGTATGAGGAAATCTCAGATTGGTGTGTCTTTAGATGATTATATTAAAAATCATAAACCATTTAGCAAATCCTACTCTTATCCATAATATATTTATTACGGAAGCCATAATTACTAAAAGTGCCAAGTGCATTTCTATGATTGAGAAACAGAGTTATCCATTTAGGGACTCTGTTTTGATCATATGTTAATATTTTTTTTTTCTTCTCCCTTATCAGGATGAAGACGATGGTATGTTCAGAAAAGCTTTCCTATAATTTGTATCTTATTTTCTCATTTTTTTCTGCTTGGGCATTCAGATAACATTATGGGCTATGGAAAACTTCCAGAGTCAATTATGATTATTAAATTAATATTTAGTAGACATATGTTAATTGATGTATTTCACAGCTATAATAAAATGGAGTTATTTTTATTGGGTTACTAAAGTGAGATGTTAATTTCATGTATAACAGTGCAAATTATCTAGTTGTACAGTAAAAATTAAATTTGCTTATATGATTTGATAGAAAAATTTCTAATATTTATACCCTCTGGAACATGTAGGTAAAGAATCAGTAAGCATGGGTGAATGAGATTGCATAAAATTTTAACTTTCATAAAATGAAACAAAACTTGTGAAATATCATTTTAGATATTTATAAGGATTCCAGTTGACCATTTTCTGCCAAGATAGCATTTAAAAGATGAAAAAAATAAAATAAACATGTGCTATATAAGATAGCATTTTTGTAAATGCATTCTAAGGTGGGAGTTCCATCCTATGATTTTCTAAGTACACCTGATCTTTTGTATTTTTATATCTCCTTTATTTTATATCAACTGTTTTTTAACTGCAGAGCAGTTCTAGAATGTTCCTAGTGGGTCCTGACAGTCTCTTGACTTTTTTCTTTTCTCCCACAGTGCATCAAAGACCTTTGCCCCAGCCTGCGCTAGTTCCTATGAGCTCCAATACTTTTCCTTCAAGATATACTAAGCCAAACTCCAAGCACTCGTTCCCACCATCACACATGCCCGGGGCTTTCTCAGAAAGGTTTGTGGCTATTATTAACTCCTAACTTGACATAATGCCTAAGTCCACCAGACATTGAGATAATGCCACATGGCTTGAGAAAGAAGGAAAAGAATGAGCAAGTAACAGTGTCTGAACATCGGGGGTCTGAGAAAAGAAAATCAAGCTCAGCATTAGGAACCACATGCTAAGCTACTGCTGTCCTCCTGGGTTTGTGCTTGCATAGATGGAATGCACACTTTGGCAGAAGATAGGGGATGTTTTCACATTCTCTATTTAATGGAACATATAAACCAACAGAAAATATTTAGAAATCCAGCTAATTTAAGTACTGGAAGTTCCTCCTGCATCTTGGATGGAGAGATTAAGAAATGTGTCTTGCACTTAGCAAATGCTAAAAGTTCACTGCACAGGCTTTGATCCCAGCAAGCCTACTTTCTCAGTATCAGCAGCGTTTCTCAGGGCTTACAAGAAGATTGTCCAGAGACAGAGGCTTGAATAAGAGAAAGACCTGAATTATTCCTCCCCAAACAAGCCAGTGGGTTGCTCTGTGGTGTCCTCGCAATGTACCTTTAGTATTTAAAGTGGAAATTGCAGGCCCTCATCCTACACACTTGAGAAAATTTAACCAAGTTAAATAACCAGCAAGTTATGTGTACCTTGCCTAATGTCTGGAAAGACTGTCAGAATTTTTCATTTTTCTTGGGTTCCCCTTGTCTTTACCTTTCTGGTTGCTTCTTATTCTTCAAGCTATTTTATTCTCTTTGTGCCATATCTGTCATTCTTCTCATCCTGCTTCACCTGACATTGGCCCCATCCTTTATTCTTGAAAATTATGACCCATTTGCTGTGTTGAGCAGAGGTTTACTGACAACGTGGGCTAAAGGGTATGTTGCCACTTAGCATGGAGGGAACAGGTAGCATTTCGGGGCACCTCCAGACCTCCTTCCCCATCCTGGTCCCTGTAAAAACTGTCCCTTCCTGATGCAGCAACATTTGTTGCTCACTTCCTGTCCCACGTGCCTTACCGAAGGCATCTCAGTAAGAAGGAAGAAGCACCTTCAATCTGGATTTTTAAACCAACTCCCCAGGCTGGCCCCATAACCTAAACCCAATTTAAAATCCATTCTTTTTCTGTCTCCGCAGTAACAATAATTTTCCACAGAGCGCCTCCCTGCCGCCACACTTCTCTCAAGGTTGGTACCCTGTGCTTTCGTGACCTTTTCCAGCCAACGTGTCTGAGGGATTTGATTCCCAGCAATCTCAAAGCCCTTTGGCAAAGGTTTTATCATTTTCTAAAAACACCTGACTTCCTCATTCAACATTGAATTCAGTGTTTACAGTGTACTAACAGCTGTTGGAATGATAAAGAGACAGTTGTATATAAATTACCATACAAGTACTCACACACATGCACACACATGAACACTCACACATTTCACCAGGATGCTATCCCTAATCTTCATGCACAGATATTTTAACCTTGGTTTGTAGGTTGGTGAACATGTTTAAGATACAGATTAAGAGAGCACAGCCTCAAAGATTCTAATCCAGTAAGTCAGGGATGAGGTCAAGGTATCTGTATTTTCTAGCTGTATTAGAGGGTCCTCAGACATTAATGTGCAAACAGATATCCTTGGAATTCTGTTAAAATACATACTCAAATTCAGTTAGTCTGGGTGAGACCTGAGTTTCTGCATTTCTAAGTTCCTTAGTACTGGTACCACTAATCCACTCTGAGTAGCAAGTAGATCCTGCAAGGTAGGACAATCTAGTCTTTATCTAAAGCAAGTGGCTGGCACATGGAACTTTAAAAATGCTTGTTGAAAAATAAATAAATAAAAATGCCCGTTGAATGACTGTCAGATAACTGGAAAATCATCCAACTGTAGTAAGTAGATTTTACCATGCCAAAGACTGGCCTACTGATGCCAAATTTTCTAATTTCTTTTTCAAGAAAAGTTAAAAATGTGGTCATCGATGTGATGTTACCCAATTTTTAAAAGCTGATTTAATTTTTAAAAATATTGTTGGAACAAACAGAACAGAACTTTTTTTTTTGTATTGTGGTCCATTTGGAGAAACACCAGAGTGTGTTTTAAATAGAAAACTGCATTGGTAAATTTGAGTTAGAGCTCAAGAATAAAGATTTTTCAGGAGCCCTTTCCTTGTATTTAGTTGGATACATCTTTCCAAAAGTGAGTTCTCACCCCTGGAACCAACACTCCTAAGTTTCAAAGCATTTGAGATCAGTGTTAGTGTTCACTATATGGTTTCCAGTGTCCTGCTCCACCTCAATTTTTCATAGTCTCCCCAATTCACTACTTCCCAAAGGAGGCTTCCATAGAGCTCTGGTTTTATAAGTTGGTGATAGGGATTACTAACACAGTCATTTTTTTCAAATATCACTTAGCCAAACGGTTCCATTTTCTCCCAAGACAGTCAGGACACTTGGTCCTCAGTCTTCTGCACTGACTGCTCCAACTTCAGAAAGGTAAAAGGTTTGCATAATGCACTGTCCAAAAACCTTTCACCATCTCCCTTCAGGATCCGAATATGCAGCATGGCAGATGACTGCAATAAAAAGTATATGTGCCTGTGCGTTATGAATCGTGGTTTTGAGGTGCTGGCCGGTGGTGCAGAAGCAGACAGTCATTCCTTAAAACTAGGGCAGCCATGTAATACAGCCTTGGCTCTGTGACTCTACTATACTGCTAGATTTTATTCATTCAATGAGCATGATCAAAGCGTAAAAGTGCTGGACTGCTCAGACAGAGCTTGGGAGTGTCTATTTAGGTAATGGGAACCTGGAAAGGAAGGTGGTAGGAGGTAAGAGCCAGGTTACTTTTAATAGCCCTGGTGACAGAGCTCGGGAGACCTCAATCTTTCCCAGATGACTCCCTTCTCATTTGGTGGCAACACAGGTGTAGTAACAACGTTAAAGCAGAAACACTTCAGGTGCTAGTTAATATGCAGATTCCTGGACCCTGGGTAAGTCAAAGTTCCCTAGGTATTCTATGTACAGTAATTTTGAAAGCTGCAGATTTAAGTCTTTAATGTCAGTGTTACACATGACTTGTGTACCCTGTTTCCTCAAAGGTAAAGAAACACACCTTGTAATGTTGCTGTGAAGATTCAGGGTAATTTACACAAAGCATCTTACTCAAAATCTGGCTGAAGCAGTGCAAAACAAACATTTATTGAATGAACAAATGAATGATGGATAAATGATCTAAAAGAATATCCAGCTAATAGAATGTTCCACTTTTTACAGCTGTTCTGACACATAGAAAACAGCTGGACTGTAGTCAACACAGTCAAATCTTTCCTGAGACGAGGAAACATATTCTCACAAACTTTCAGGGAACAATAAACAAGAAAAAGATAGATTTGGGTAGAATGAGGCACACGTAGTAGGTAATTTATGGTTTGCCCAGGAAGGCATTCTGGTTGATCAGATAGTCTATTAACGTCTTTGTTACTTGAACAGCCCTACTTCGTGGAAAATTCAGCCAAAAGCATCAGGTAGAAAATGTTGATTCTAAAAGCTAACAACATTCTCAGAGTAATTTCTTCTTGTCTTGTATAACTTCCATTTCTTATTATATAAAGACAAGGAGAACATAATTATCTTTATCACTATGTTACCACTGTACTAGTGGTAACATACTGGTAATCCATACTGTGTATACTGACATTATAGGAATCCATGAAACATCTGTCTCTTGAATATTCTTCTTGTTATTCACATGAAAATAATTGTGACTTTTTGTAAATGAATCTAATCACTTGTATTGGAAATCACTAGTTTGGGTTTCTGCCCCTTGAATTTCACTGACATAGAATACAGTAATGCCTGACAGATTCAGTGTTTTTGAACAGAAGAAATTAATTTTAAACTCAGTTTTCTTGAAATGTTAATTATTAGAACAAGGACAAGAGCATTCCGGGATAGGAATTGTTGTGAAGGGAGTAAACAATAGCTCACAGGAAATTAATTCTCAAAATGCTGTATTTTTAAAGGCCCTAACAACAGACCACCCCTCAGACCTGAAGGCAGAAACTTTCCTTTGCCTGTTCCAAACAAACCTCAGCCAGCATCCCTGGGGGAAGAGGAGGTAACAAAACACCTTTCTTTTTTTGTTTCTCTTTTCTCTAGCAAATGGATCATAAGAAACTGCCCTGGAATGCTCTCCTATGCTTTTATTTTCTGTTAGCTTACTTATTCATTCCTAATTAAAAGGAGGTGAGGGTGCAGCTCAGTTAGAGCTTTTCCTGCCATCCCTGAGGCCCTGGGTTCCATCTCCAGCATCTACAAAAACAAAAAACTTTAGAGGGGGATCCAGATAAAATAGGCATTTCTGCCCCTTTCAGGCTCTTCCAAAGGCAAGCATGTGTTTTGCATTAAACAATAAGAAAAATAATCCTATTTTTCTTCTGTTTCCTATTTTATATACTTGAAATACTCACTTAGCTGCTCCATTAATGCAGTTTTCCCTTAATTATGTTATTATTGCATACTAAACTGAAGAAATTATTATCCCTGTGTCTTTCCTGATTAGAGGTTCCATTATATAATGAACACTTATTTGCAGCTACCTTTGCAACCAGTGTCATGATAAAAAGCAGTTAAAATACCTTCTGTACAGCCTTATCTAAATGATTCATCATTCAGGTTAAGAAAACAAATATTTAAAAACTCATAGAACTGAGGTGATGATTTATGGAAATTATTGCTTGGAGGGTTTTCTTTTTGCTTACCTATGAGACTGTAAAATTTATCCAGTTTTTAAAAATTTACATTTACAGAATTCACTAAATGAAGAGTGGTATATTTCTTATATTACTAGACCAGAGGCAGAAGCTGCTCTCCGAAGGATAAACCAGGTATGGCCTATAATTTATTTTAAGTGGTTATAAATATTAATAGAAGAAGACAAAGGGAATTAACTGGCTTATAGAATCCCAATTACTGCCTAGGGAATCTGCTAGGTGCTGTTTCCACTGAGAGGTGTTGTTCCTGGGAGACCCATTAGTGTCAGCCTCCCACCTACCAGGATCCCTAGCAAGGCCTCCTAAGACAGGGAATCATTTGGCTGGAAGAATCTCAGGTGATTTCTCTAATGGAAGCACCTGTCTTGTCATAGGACTCATGTGGTGTCAAAAGAAAACTCTCCCAAATTTTGAATGTGTTATCACTGTTGTCTTCCATATCACTACAAAAGGACCCATATTGAGAGATAGACAGAGAGAGAGAGAGACAGACAGAGACAGGGAGAGACATAAGAGACAAAGACAAAGATAATTTTTTTGTCTTTTCTTCTAGAAATTTATATCTAGTCCTTCAATATTATAAAGTTTGAAATAGATTTCCCGTGGCACAATGCTGACCCTCAAATTATATGTATTCATCAAAGCCTAGAAAGCAAAGGCCCTTCATCTTTCATACCTAAAGTGTGCAGCAGTTTTTTTCAACTTTGGAAGCACTTGGAATCGTCTGGAGAGACCCTGATTTCTGGGTCTTGTCTGGAAAGATTCAATTTTAATTAATCAGATTGGGCTAAGGAATGGCCCAAGCTTCCCAGATGATTCTGATTTCAATCCAAGCCTGTGAATCACTGGTCCAGGGTATGTTTGTTTAACAGGAATATTCTGACTACTCAACTAACTTAGATTAGCAACAACAAAGGAAGGCCGTTATTGCACATCAGCAGGTGTTTTAGAGACATCCAGATTCAGAACTTAAGTGAATTGTCCTAATTAGCTCTATTTTTATATTAGAACTTTACAGTGTTATTATGTTGCCAATAATTTATTGACTGACTAAATTATAAGAGAAATCACTACACTAATTCAGTAAATATCAGAAAAAATTGTCAAGAACATTTTGTTCAGTTATGTGGTAGGTAAATGTTAGATCTAAAGAACATAAAAGTTTTAAAACGAGTGCAATTCATTGGCATGTGGGTGTTTTCTGGTTGTGGATGTGGAAGGGAGATGTTAGGGATTAACTCACAGGGAAGGAAGATTTCTTTCTTTCTTTTGTACCAGGAATTGAACTCATGGCTTGCCAGGCAGGCACTGTGCTGCTGAGCTCCTTCTCCAGCCTGGAAAATACATGTCAGGTTGACCAATAAAGTCCTATTTCTCTCGGTCCTTTTCCACTTAACCACCTATTATTTGTTTTATTACTGGAAATGGATTGGCTTTTTAAGAGGCTTTGAAGAGGGTGACTTGGAAATTTCTCTGATACTATCTCTACTGGATTTCTTGATAATCAAGAGATCCAAAACACCCTGGGTCAGTAGCTACTTGGAGAACTGAATGTTAGTTCACTCAACTGACAAGTTTGCAGATCCCTAGGGTTTGTCTGCTGCTCTTGTTGCCTAACAAAGTATTGACTTTTACTGCTCCTACAATAACAAAGAATTTACCTTCTTAGGATGGCACTTTTCTGGTTAGAGACAGTTCCAGAAAAACAACAGCCAATCCATACGTCCTCATGGTATTGTACAAAGACAAAGTTTACAACATCCAGATCCGTTATCAGGAAGAAAGCCAAGTTTACTTGTTGGGAACCGGACTCCGAGGGAAAGAGGTAAGAGCCTCAAATTTCAGAATTCTCACCAGTTTTCTTTCTCGTGCCTCTTTGCATACCTAGTTGGAGCCTCACTAAATATTCTTTGGGAATCCATGGTGTATAGCAACTTTTAGAGTTAAATTACATTAGTGAAACCATTTATTGGAGACAAATAAATGAAAATGTTTATGAGGCTTTCTTATTTTTTTATTTCAAATAAACCAATATCAAAGATATAAAATAAGGAAGTATTTCATTTTTAAAAATCCAGTTAGAGGGGCTGGAGATTTAGCTCAGCAGCATAAGCACCTGCCTTGTAAGCAGGCAGTCGTGAGTTCGATCCTCAGTACCGATAAAAAGGAAAAAGACAAAAAAAAAATCCAGTTAGATTTTGTCAAAGGCAAGTCTCTTCTATTACTGACCTCTGTGGCAAATTTTAATGTAAGACTACAAGGCTATGTTTTATATTAATACTATCCTGGATAGAAGGAAAATTTGAACACTTGGTATGACAATTATTTAGGTACTCAGGTTATCTCTTACTAACCATGGAGTTTTGCACTATGAAGATGAGCAAGCTGCCAAAGAAATTTTTCAATTTTGAGGCCAAGATTTAGATTCTCATACCACTTTAAGGTTGGTAATCAAAACTGATACAAAAGAAACTCTTATGACTGCCTTTTGCAAAAGAAACCAACAACTCAATTTAATGTCACAAAACATGCTCTTAAATTCAAAGCTGCTGGCAGGTATGTTAGTGCACACCTGTAATCCCAGCACTTGGGAGGCTGAAGCAGAAGGGTTACCACAAGGATAAAAGCAGCTTGGGTTACATAGTGAGTTCGAGACTGGCCTGAACTACATGGTGAGATCCTATCTCCAAAAATAAAATAGAATAGAATAAAATAAAATAAAATAAAATTCAAAGTTGTAAGAAGACCAGCTGAATTAAACATTTCCAGAATGAATAACAGTTCATCCATAACTTATACTTCCAACCAAGTACTTTAAAGTAATGACCATGTGGTTTTGGTAAAATGTTTGAATTAATTGTTCACTGTAGATAGAGCTACTTAGGCTGTCTGGATGCAGAGGTGTCTGTCCTCCAAAGTTTCTCTCAGTCTTATGTAGAAATACTCAAGTGCAATTTGTAGCTGCTTGAAGGGAGGTACAGAATCTAGACAAAAGACTTGGAGAAAGTATGTAAACCTGTTTCTGGTACCCCTGTGACTTCTGATCCATTTGAGGTGTGATTGAAAATAGAATGGGGGGCTGGGGATTTAGCTCAGCGGCATAAGCACCTGCCTTGCAAGCAGACGGTCATGAGTTCAATCCCTGGTACCGATAAAAATGAAAAAAAAAACAAAAAAGACAAAAAAAAAAAAACCCAAACAAACAAACAAAAAAAGAAAATAGAATGGATATTTAAGAATTTATTACAGTAAAAGACACATTGTCATTATTCCCCCTCAAAACACCTCCACTCACCTCTGAACACTTATCTCATCATTCTTTTCATTTTTTAAAACAGTCTGGAAGTATCTTTATAATATGTAATAGAACATATAGTGAATGCCACTGCTGATAGCCATCAGATAGAAAGGCAGGCTGTAAAAATGCTGCATGTCCTCATCCATCTTATTCACTGGGTCTGGCACTGAGCCACTTCTGGCCCTTCCCCAACATCCACATGACCACGAAAGGTGAATGTTTTTAGCCAATTCAGAATATTGAGGCAGCTATGACAATACAACTGAAGACACTGGTGAAAGAGGACTTCCAGAACTGTTTCAGAAAGTGACAAGGATGATGGGTTATTTTCAAAGCAAGAGGGGGGCGAGTTAATGGGAGCATGTTTTACTGTAATAAGATTTTAAAACATTTAAAGATTTGTCTTATTTTTCAATCACATCTAGTAGGATGAATGAGATTGTTTTCCAGTCTGGGCATCTAGCATCAGGTGATTTAGGGATGAGTGCAGAAACGTGACTGCTAAGGCTTGTGAGTGTAGAGACAGCAGTGGGGACATAGCAGGAAGATGCTGAAGACACGTGGTATGACACTGTACCATCTCCAGACACCATGAGTGACGTGATGTCTGACCTCTTAACTCCATATTCTTCCTAATGCCAGTAGTGATTGGGGTGAAAGAGATATGGAGATCAAAACAAAAAACAGAAACACAGAGAGTAACCCCAAAGCAAGGATATTATTAGTAGAATATTTAGAGTAAATGATCCCCTATATCAAATTAAAATTTTTTGTTGTATTTATTCATGATTTGTTGAATGTTGATAAGGAATTATTTCAACTTTTGACAGCAGAAATCATTAAAATGTTTGTCATATTTTACATGTTTTTCTCCACAATTCTCATAACTTGAAGAGTTATGCAGATTTTAAAACCCGAGAGTGAAATTCATGCCATCAGTTTCAATGCTGACTTATCTCCCTACTTTAACTTTTTCAGGACTTTTTGTCTGTGTCAGATATTATTGAATATTTTAGGAAGATGCCACTTCTGCTCATTGATGGGAAAAATCGAGGCTGTAGATACCAGTGCACCTTAACACATGCTGCAGGGTATCCATAGCAAGCCAGCCACACGTGTGCAAATTCCTCTCGCCTCCTTGGCAACATGGGACGATCAAGCAACCTCGGCGAATGGACTGAAACACACCCAGCAACATGAGCACAGGGTTTGGTCCTTCCTTTCATAAACAGTGTTTGAAATGAAGACTGTCAAATATCCTATAATTTATTTATTCTTTAACAATTGTAAACCGCAAGAGTAATAATGTTCACATCTGCAGTCTAGTAATGAACTGAAGTACTTCATCTAAGAAAGCAGACATATATTTTTGAATACCCATTTCAAAGTGAAGTAGTTTAAGTCCCTACAAAAGGAGATTGGGGCAGATTTAAAAACACTTAGATGATAATAGGTTTTGATATCATATAAAACTGATTATTTTAGTCAATCTTTGTCACAGGCAATTATCAATTTTTATATACTTTTAAAATTACTATAATTCATTTCCTCAGCAACAACAATTTAAGGTACTTCAAAAACATAATTCCATTCTTTCTTGTTTGGTAATTTTTTCTGGGAGAATTTTTTGTGTACTTTTTTAAAAATGACAAAATAAATGCATGTTAAAATAGCTTCCTGGTATTAAAAGTATCTCACTTTTGGGTCCTTAAAATTTTTTTACTGTTTAGTTAACACTGTTATGTATTTGTCTTAAAGAAAATTTAAAATACAAATACCAAAAGAAAACATTTTAAATTTAGAGATAAGTCTTTGGTATCAAGTCTTTGGTACTTCATCACATCCCACTCCGCACACCTGCACTATGTACTCTCCATCCCCACCCAACTCCAACTCCAGTGATGTAGATTTTACTGAAAACTTCCTGGGAAGATAAGGAGCAATGTGTACACATAGACAAATTTACTCACACTTCAGTATTTCATACAGCTTATATTAGTCAGATTTTCACTACTATGACAAAATACCTGAGACATTCAAAAGGAGGAAAGGTTTAATTTGGCTCAGGGTTCCAGGGTTTTCAGTCTGCCGCTGTGGGTCTGTGAGGGAATAGGAAGGAGGATGTGGAGGCCTATTCACCTCATGGTAACTGGGAAGTAGAGACAGATAAGAGGAGGCTAGGGTCTCCATATCCCATGTTCCAAATTATCTAACTTTCTTCTACTAGGCCCCATTTCCTGAAGACTCCACCACTTCCCAGCACCTCCATGGGTTAGAGATCAAGCTTTCAGCATATAGGACCTTGGGGGACACCTTTACAAGCCATAGCACTGCTTTTCTTTTGAATCTTTGTGACAAGAACATCACAAAGCCCCTCTCTTCATCCTTCCCAAATTGACTGAGTGACTCTTTTAAAACAGTTGAACTAATTCTTTCAGTTTATAAATTTCTGGAAAAGTACAGTCTCAGCTTATGATTCAACTTATTATTTCAAATTTAAAATGCTATAAAAGCCATATGTATTAAGTAGAGACTATATTTTGAATTTTTATCTTTTCTTGAGAAAGCAGTATATAGTGTGATACTCTTATGATGCTGGATGGCAAGCACATTGGAACTCCCAGTCAGCCATGTGATCAGAAGGGGAAACAACCAATATTCTGCAGTGTTAGATATAACTAGCATTTTTTGGATATAGACATTTAGTAAAGTACATGAGACATTCAACACTCTATTATAGTTTGTGTTAGATGATTTACTCTACTGTAGATTAAGGTTACGGGTTCTGAGTATGTTTAAGGTAGGCAGTGCTAACCTGTGATGTCTAGTGAGTTTAGTGTGGTAAGTGTATTTTTGATTTGTAATGGTTTTATCAAGATATCATAAGTCAAAGAGCATGTGAAGTAGATATTTGGCATGGAAAACCTTGGTATTTAGCAAAACAGAGACATATTTCAAGTTTTTCTTGGGACTTGGCTATTATTACATAAATTATATAAGCAGAAATTTTTGTTTTTTTGCTTAATCTACAAGTTTTCTGAGTTAGACAGTTTTGTACTTTTATTTTCATGAACTAATAAAAAAACATTAGAAGGGACTTTAGAAGTCACCAGATTAAAACTGATGATATAGTAAGATAAGTGTGTGGAATGTGGAAGTTTTTAACCAATGATGTTGTTAGCATTACTCTTATAAACCTTATTCTTATAAATCAAAAGTTCCCAATTTAGAATCTAGAATTTGGAAGTCAGAATTGAAAAACAGTATTCATTTACATGTTTACTTAACAGGATACTCAATGGGAAATACTTAGGTGCTAAGAGTTGGTTCTGTGATGGAGTAAGATCAACTTGGGTCTTGTTTCAGGGCATACTATCTACTCTGTTCAAAAATATCTAATATGAACCTCACGATAAATGCCAAAGCATCTGTTTGGCAGTGAATCATGTTTACTAGATAAGCCAAAGCTTATTTTAAAGTTTCTTGGTGCAAAGGGGCAGAAATTAAAGTTTTAGGATAAATATGTTCTTTTGGCCTAAGGTCTTATGACGTTAGCTGCAGCAGTGATCACTGCTCAGGCTACTGTTGAGTGACCCACTTTACATCTGAGCTACTCAGAGTCTCTCTCCCCAGTGTTACACGTGAACAGTGAGAGGAATGATCTCTCTTTTTTTGGGGGAGGGCTCCCAAAACTAATGCTGTACCATCTGAAATTGTCTACTGTGTTTGTAACTTCTTCTACACACCATGTGGAAGAAACTAGTCTATACCAGGAACCAATGAGATCAACACAGAGAAAAACAATGAATAGAAATAGGAGATGAATGCATTTATGGAGTCTTTGAGATCTATTCCAATTATGGACTTACAAGTCACATGATGCAGTAAATATATCAGCTGGTATGTTCAGCACTAATAGAAGAGTTCTGATCACTATAAACTCAAATGGCCTACTAATAATTTAGTAACTCTTCTAATTTAGGGCAAATTCAAGCATAAAGATAAATAATGCTTCATGACCAAATTTCCATGTCATACTCTTGCCTTTGGTAAAACAAACCAACCACCCTTCAAACATTAAAACAACAATGAAAGAACCTTCAAGAAAATGAAATATTTATTTGCAACTCTACATTATTTTTATTGTTTTTGATTACATTTTATATTTGTTCCCAGATATTTGCTAATTCTACAATCAAAAACACCAGAAATTCATAACTAAAAAAGAAATCAGACAGTAGAACTGTTAGAAGCAAGGAATGGGTCTGATATTTCATACTTTTCAGCTGGGGAATTGTTTCTTTCTGTTTCCTTTAACTCCTCTATCTTCACAGGATGAGTAAACTGTAGAGTAAGGTCACAAAGCAGTAACTGGGAATGCTCTGAGTAAAACAAAACAACAGTAGATATATTGCAGTACACATATCATAAACAACTTATTGCTTTTAAGAAATTCCTAATTTAGTTTTTGTAAATGATTTCTGGTCAAATCATAACTTATGTGTGTCCAATTGACCTAAAATCAAATTTATGTACTATAAAACATTCGTGATGTAAAAATTAACCAGAAAGGATTTTTAATCCAGCTAGTCAGCTATCTTCTTACACTGCAACTTGATTTATGCAAATTTCTTTACCATGTTATACTTGTTTTTATCTAAGTTAAACATGTACAGAATGTAAAGATTCAGGTCTAAAAGGCATGTTACAAAAATAAAAGTTGCTATCGTCCAGAGGCAACCATTTTCAATCTTTTATAAGTTCCATATTTTGTTTTCATTGTTTTGTTGTTTCCTGTGTGTTTGTGCTGTACTTATTGGGGGCGGGAAGGAAGTATGATCTAATATTTATCTCCATATCTTTAAATGGCATGATTCTTTTTTAGTTTTTGGGACTATCTGCTTCTGATTTTTAAAAAAAATTGAAACATAGCTCTTTTACTTACTTCTTTCTCCTCAGGATGTTTAGAGGACAGTTTTTGCTAGCACAATATTTAATGCTGAAATCTTAATTATACACATATTTTTACAGTTGAGTCTAGTAAATATGATATCCTTCTTGGAAACTATCTTCCACTACAATTAACAATTGGTTTTTCATTGTTTATCAGGAGCATATCCCAATTATCCCTACGGTGAGTAAATCTCTCTTTATATTCAACACCTTAGCTATTCTTTTGGTGCAGGTCTCCCCTCTTGTGAAGTCTTCTGATTTGCTGTCCTGAGGGATGGCTGCTCTCTATGACTGGTATGCATCTCTGTTCTAGAGGACTTCCTTAACCATACTCTATGATTACTAGTCCCTTTTACCCTTCCCCTTTTCCAGATTTCTTTTTTGGTATGCTTTCTTGTTTGGGAAAATATAGTCTCGGTAACCTGGGGTTGGAGAGGGGATAGGTGTATGTCTGAAACTTTCTGTATACATACTAATGTTCAATGAGTAGGCTGACTGATTTTAGAAGTTGAAGTTGGGAATCATATTTCTTCAGATTTCCATAGGCATTGCTGCATCATCTTCTAGCTTCCAATGTTGCTATTAGGAATTTTCATGTGATACTAATTCTCAATACTTACTTGTTTTTCAGAAGCTTAGTTGATCTTTTTTGTTCTCACAGAGTTGTAACATTTCAGAATACTGTGCCTTGGTATATATGTATTTTCAGCCATGTGTTGGGCTCTTTAATTGTACAAACTCATACCTTTCAGCTCTGGGAAATCTTCACAGATTATCTCTTCAGTGAATTCCTTCTTACCCATTGTGTCTATTTTCTTTTTATTTATTAGATATTGGATTTCATTCACTGATTCTGTCATTTTTTTTCCATTAAGGCTTTTTATCTCTGTTATTTTTCTCTATACTTTGGGAGAATTTTATTTTCCTTTAAACTTCCTGAAGAGTATTTCCTTTCTACTTCACAGTTAATTTTATTTTTTATGTAAATTTTACAGCATTCTTTTTCAAAAAAGAACTTTTCTTAGTCCTTTGTGGGTACTAATGATAGTTTCTTGACATTTTCATCTTCTCTTGGAATTTGCTTCTCCCTCACTGAATTTATTTGTTGGCGTTGTCTGTTTTTTATATTTGATGTCTTCCTCAAATACCTGTTTGCCAAAGTTGTTTGCTTATACGTAAGATGTCGCACTGAAAACCACTGTATGCTCTATCCTCAGAGTAGCCTATATTGTGAAATGATCTCACTGAGTTATTTTGTTGAAGGAATTTCTTTCAGTGTCTTACGTCTTTTAATTGGGTCAGATTCCTTAAAGATAAGTATGCTTGGAAAGGGTATAAATCTGCTCCAGGGTGTTTTAGTAGCTACAGAAGGAAGGAAAGCTGAGGGTCTGACAATTTAGTATGTTATCTTTGTCATAATATCTTTTATATTTTTTGTTTTCGGTACAGTACTCTCCCTCAACTGTGGCTAGCAGCTCTAAGCCAGAGATTTCTTTTTAGAAAGACTCTTCTGTTGCAGAGGCAAGATGGTTACCTAGTTATGCATAGGAGGCAAGAGATCTCAGGAATCTACAATATCTTAAAAACATTTAAGTAGTCTTCCTGTTATTGGCCAAATTTCACCTTAATTTCCAGAGGATTCAAGTGTCACCATATACTGAGTCTTTGGAACTTATTTCTTGGTACTATTCAGCTATCTTGGGGCTCATATTTTTGGACTTCACAGTTCAAAGTTGTCTACTTCCATTTGCTTTCCATTTTGTTGCCTTTCAGTTCTCTACCCTGTACATTTTTGTCTCTTTGAAATCACTTACATCTAAAAAATTAGTTCTAGCACCACATGTTTGACCTTAAGAAAATTAACCTCTATCTTTATATGTGTAAATGTCAAGAATAATTCCAACCTCATAGGGTTGTTAAAACAACTGAATTCATTTAGGTAGATCTCTTGTAAGAGTGCTGGGATTATGGAAAATTTTGGGAGGAGGTAGAGATAAATAAAGAGTTTATTTAATTCTGTATGGCTACTAAAACTTTACTCTCCTATCCTAATTGCCTGACCTACCCACATAACTTTTCAAGAATATGTCTATCATATTCAGCATTTCTATTTTACTTCATGAAAGAATATTACCCAAAGTAGAATAGATAATTGATTCTGGGAAGAATACAAAGCTTCTCTAGTGGCTTTAAATGAGTATAAGCACACGGAACCATTTATTCATTTAATAAACATTTTCCTAGAATCTAAAATATTGGGGTGCTGTGTTAAATGCTATGGATAACTTTTAAGGAGTTTACAATTAAGCAGAAATAGGAAAAATAAATGTGATTGCAACATAGTGTGGACAGAGGGAAAACATGTAGGACAGAGGGAAAACATGTAGGACAGAGGGAAAACATGCCAATAAAAATAGTTTTTCAGTGTAAGTGATCTTAAATAAGCAGTAGTCAACCTGGTATGATGGGGAGGATTTAGCAATGGGATTTTAGAGGGTGTATACATTAAGGTATATACACAAAAGAGCATACAGGGATATGTAAATAGTTTAGTATGGCTGGAGCATAGAACATGCAGGGAGAAAATAATGAGCTTTGAGAAGTCAGCAGGGGTCTGATCTCCAGGAGGTTGCACAGTGCATTCTAGGGGATTTGGACTTTATCCTGAGGATAAAAGTAAAGCAAATGAAGGTTTTTGGCAGCTTTGGATTTTAGAAAGAGAATCTTCACTGTGGTGCTGAGATTCATTTTGAGAGAAGATGAATTAAGCAAAGCTAAGGAAATCTCTTTACACTAAACTCCTCAAAGCCTCTGCTAATATGCACTGTGCATCTGTGAGAGAAATATATAGCATACAGAACAGCTTAAGTTTATTTCACCATAAGAACATGGACAGTGTTTTATCATATGCCATCTTCAAGATTCCTTGAAGCCAGGCATGTGCCACACGCATTATCCCAGCACTTGGTAGGTTGGGGCAAGAGAACTGTTATGAGTTCAGCCTGGGCTACATAGTGAGATGGTCTCAAAACAAAAACAAAAACAAAATGTCTCTTGAGACAGCAGGGTTCTCAGCTCAAAACTTGGGAAATGTTGCTCCAGGGAAAATACGTGTGAAAAGCAGAACAGTCACTTACTAACTAACAGCCACTTCCTCCTCTTCCTGGAGGCACAACTTGATTCTATTGGAAATGCTACTGTCCCCACCTCCAGCAGTAAATTCTGACTGGTCCAAATTGGTCTTATCAGTTCACTCCCTTGGCTGTGGCCAATAAAGGGAAAGATGTCCTAGAGACAGCTGGAGAAAGGTTTATACAGAGATGAAAGGAGAGAGTGTCTGTATATGGTCACTTTTGAAAGTAATGGTCATGGGTAGTGATAAAGTGAAAACAGCAGAAAGATGGAAAGAATCTGTCTTTGATCAAGCCTTTCAACCTCTGGGTTAACCTAGGGCTGCCCTTCCTTAGACCTTCCTCAGGGCCGCTATTCCTTACTGTGTTAAGTCATGTTAAATTGGCATTTTGCTACCTGGAGCTAAAGGTCTCATAACTGGCAGGGGCCATCTACAAGTATCTAAAAGTTCTTATAAGATGAACAACTATATATTAAATGTATATCTCATGGTTAAATGAGACTTAGAGGGAAAGAGCAGACAAACTGATTTGTTAATTCATGAAAAGGAGCTATTTAAAACAGAATGAGTTGATAGGGACATAGGGAATTCCTCAACACACGCATGTTTGGTCAGGAATAGATACCTTGGATAACACAGAATTTGTCTGTGAGGTAACTAAGTATTATGCTCTATAAGGTCTATCATTACTGTATGAATCCATTTAAAATGAAATACTCTTAACCCACAGAATCAAACTTACAGTTCTTAATTTGGAATTAGCCTTAGGGGCTTAGTAAGGATCCACGGAAAAAGACATTGAATTTTGTAGAGTGTCATATATCATGTAACTGTGTGATGAAAAGAAAGAAGAGAAATAAATTTTGAAAGGTCAGACAAAATGATTAGATTTTTACTGTCAGAGATAGGGATTCAGGTTTGCTTACTCTCAGATCAATGTTCAAACCGACTTCATCTATGGAGTTCACAGTGCAAACATTTCTCAACAGAGATATCATAATTAGTTGGAAAAATACACTCTAGCAAAAGCATAAATTAACTCTACCATTTATTTTATAACAACAGAATGTAAGTACTTTAATGATTCTATACTTACCTCTCATTTTTTTCAGCTCCAAAGAAATTGTGTTAATGTTTTTAATTATGGTTTCCACCTTCTGCTTATGGTCAGTAACATTATTCTTAAACATCTGATTTTAAAAGAGAAGAACATAAGAATCAGAAGTACTTATGTGTATTAAAAATAATTTTCAGTATTTCTTAAATAAAAATGTTATTTTAGAACTGAAATAATTGTGAAATTGTATAAGTGGTTAGAATTCTAACATAGGAAAGCATAAATCCATTATATTTTTTCCAACTGAAAATGACTCAGACTGTAATTCTTAGGATAAAGTTTCTTTCATTAAACCACATCCACATGATGGGGCCCTTACAATGAAATGAAGATGCCCCTTTTTTCAGAAAGTCTCAGTAGTTACAAACTATAATTTACAAATTGTGTTAAGATCTTCTTTTCAGTAGTTTTATGTACTTTAGTGTCTCTAAATTATTCTTGAACAAGGCCCACTTGTGATGTCTTTACACAATAAAACTTGAAATATGATTTAATTATTATTTGTTGAACCTTTGTTAGCAGGCAAATGGCCACTTCAGTTTGACAATATTTTAAGTTTTGGTAACTGAAATATATAAATTAACATATTACTATGTGATATATACACAGTATCTCACATATTTTTAACCAATTGTGTATAGAAAGGAAGTCATTCAAACCTCTTTAAAATGATTTGAAAAAAATTAAACTACAATTATTAGCACATGACAGCTCCAGCAGTGTGAAAACTGGGCCATGAGGAGTCAAGCTGCTTGTCTAAAACAATGGAAACAAACTAACCTTTCAATCAATAGTTGCCCCTGAATTTTTCCAAACAAGAGGAATTTATCCTTTTTTACTCCAGAGGCACTGTAAAAAAAAAAAAAGTAATTTTGTTTTTCAGACAGTGAGGGGGAAAAAAAAAAGACAATTTTACTTGTGAATGGCAAACTTAAACGCTTCAGGTTTGAGAAAAATAAGATTTTTAAAATGTACTTTAGTGAAAGGGGATAGAATTAAACAAACTTCAAAGTGAGGAATAAAGGTTAAAAAAATAAATAAAAAACAAGAGTAAAACCAAGTGGGTAGAGAAATGCCTATTCAAGTTCGTTCTCCACACAGGGTAAGAATTTGGGAGAAGGAAATTAGAGAGCTCTGACTGGTGATAGGCATGGTTGGGTCTAGTCTTTTCCAGGGAGTTTGTCACATTCTTACTCTGAAATTAGGGACCAATTAACCGGCACTTAACTGAGAGAAGGCGACAGGCAGGCACTAACCTTTGGCCAAAGGACACAACCTCAAACCCCCCTTACCCTGAAAGCTTTCATCCTAAGGGCCACTTGCCTCTTCCCCAACTAATGTCCGTGAGGACCTCTAAAGATACTGGGGCCATGGAGCCCCAACAGCTCGCCCACTCACTCACTCAAAGGCTCAGCGTAAGCCTAAGGTAGCATGGAAGTGTCTACGGTCTTCACTGTCTGAAGCTGAATTGGAACAACACTAAATATGCTCAGAGAGAGCCTGGACTGCAGAAAAGCCAATCTCTCCTTTCCACTAAACTGAGTGACGCCTGGGAGGAGCTCCTGGGCCCCGGGGGCAGGGGGCGCGGACTGTCAGTGGGAGACCCAAAGGTTAGCCCCCCACAGGAAGGCTTAGTGGCTAAAGATGGCGCCTCAGACATCTGGGAAATTTCAATAGTCCTCTCCCTCGCAAATAGGATGAAAATACAGAGAAGCCCCAGCCTGCCCGCAAGGATGACCTACCGCCTGAGGGTTACTAAAGTTTTGGCCAAAACGTGAGGCACGCAGGCATAAGAGAGAGGCCAGGCTTTCTGATTGGCCAGCTTCTCTACCTGGTGTCTCCTAATTGGCCAGTTGCTCTGCCCACCGCATCATGGGATTATAATGGCAGGCAAGCATGTCTCCCACCTCTCTCTCTCTCTCTCTCTCTCTCTCTCTCTCCCTCCCTCCCTCTCCCTCCCTCTGTCACACACACACACACACACACACACACACACACACACACACACAGGGTTCTGGATGCCAGGTTCCAAGTGAATGCCAGGGCTATGAATTGGGCAGAACGGGCACTAACTATGGCCAGGCTGTAGGCTGAAACTGCTTCGCTCTGATTCCTATGTCATCATCACTTGTTTGATTGCATAAATGCAGGTCAGTGATATAACCTGTGAGAGTATAAATATCCTCACTTATCATATGGACTGATAATAAGTGTCTTCAGGTGTTATTTTGAGGGTTAAGTAAGGTAATACATCAATGGTTTTTGGCAGATAAATGCCCCATAAATGTTAGCTATTATCATTTCTACACATATTCACTGATGAGTCATTAGCACAGATGAGCTGAGAGAGACACTGATTTCTTGCCAAGTGGAGAAGCTTGGGATTCAAGCCATCTTTGCTTGAATCCATGAGGAATCTTTGCCACTACAACCTTTGGGACTGGTCCAGGGACTTCCATGGTGCCCTGGGTATTGTGTTAAATTTGGTCTCCAGCATCACAAGTATTTGCCTTCTCTAAAATATATGTCAGCATCTTGAACCAGTGTTTTCCTACCAGCTCACATCACACCCTATTGGTTATTATATATGGTTTATTTTCAGTTTAGCAGTATAAAAATTGTTTTCTCATTTGGATTAGATCCTAGTGAAAGCTAGCTATGGGATCTTGGAAGAGCATATTCCTTTCCCTGAGCCTCAGATTCTTCACCAGTTTCCCTATAAGAGGGAAATCACTTTTTCTTAAATTAGACTCATGGGTGGGCCACTGGGATGATTGCTTACCTTACCTTTGCACTATCTATATTATTACTTTCATGTTTTAAATTTACTTTCTTTTAAAATTTGAATTTACTTAAAAATCTGTATATCATCAGTGTAAATGGAATACAGAAAAAAGACAAGTACAATAAGACAATATTTTAAATCATTAGATGAGCTTGCCTCCTAATGATATGCAGCCTCCTGATCCTGTGGTGCCTGATTTTTGTTAAAATGGGATCTTATTAATTATTGGTAAATTAAAGACAGTTGAGCACGAATTCAGACTTGCTTTTGGTTATAACCAGAGGGGTTGAAAGAACTGGAAGAGGAATAATTCTCACTGTGTGAGTATACTTTTTTAATGTCAACATACCACATGAATTATCCCTCAATCACTAGTAATACATGTTGCCTGGTTTATGGAATCTAGCATTAGATGCTCTCCAATAATCCTTCTTTTAAAACTCCTTAAATCTCAATGTGCTATATAAGCCTTTAAAAATTCCTAGAGGCCGACTTTCTGAGTTAACCCTTTAAAAATTCCCAGAGGCAGACTTCCTGAGTTAACTGAATACCACAGCTTCATACCAATCTTTATGCCAGTGCATCCCTCACTTAATATTTTAAATTCAAACACTGGCTAGCAAATATTTATGTATGTTGAGCAATTTTTATTTAATTCTGTGTGTTATGAGGAAAGGTAAAAAGAGGCACAAAAGAACTGAAAACAAACATTCTCTGTGTATTGAAATCCAAGGAGAGAAGCCTCAGAAGAAACCAAACCTGCTGACACCTCAATCCTGAACTTCCAGCCTCCAGAAGTAAGAAAAATTATTTCTGCTGTTTAAGCTGTTTAGTCTGTGGTGTTTTGTTCTGGAAGCCTAGTCAACCAATACACTTTCTCTTCAAATAGTAAATGAGTACATCATGTCTACTGTTTTGCGTTTCATAGGTGACTGAATTTAAACATGGGTGTAATAATATGCATAATAGCATATAAATATGAGATGACCAAACATGGGTGGAAAACATTTATTTTTTGAATTAAGAACATACATAGTACAAAGCAAAGCAAAATTATGTCACTATTTTGTAAGAACAAGGATAGTTTAACTGTAGAACAATAGGAAGAAAATAAAAGGAAGAATATAATTTCAGAATAAGACTATCCTGAAAAAACCCTTACCAAATGTGCCCTTATTTCGCCCCTTCCTTATTTTGAAGCAAACTTGCATGATAACACATTTATGTGTAGAAAGTCCCTGTACATAAAAGCAGGAAAAAATAAGGTTTTAGGAGGAATCAGGTTTTTTTTAAAGTAGATGAGTGGAGATGGCATTCAGAGGGAGAAAGTCAGTGGGGCCAAGGCTGGTTAGGATTCAGTGTCCCAAGCACTCAATTAAATTCAGAGCCATCAAATATTTTCAGAACTGTCACTGCCTAACTACCTATGACTAGGATCCTCCTTTAGAACTTTTGATAGAATCTAAAGAGCTTCTACATATACAGGAGTGCTGATTTCTTCTTATACATAGATTCAAACTACTGTCATTTGAAACAAAACATCATTAGGATACTTATTATTCACAAAGAAAAATCAACTGTTGTAAGAGGGAAAAAACCATTAAAAACTCAGAGAAAAGCTCTAATAATGTATTTGTCATTATAAATTTATTATGGATCAATGATGACTATTGTGGTGTTTACATTTCCTATAAATTATTACTTTTAATTTTTTAATGAAAAACTTTAAAAATATTATCTTGTACTTAAATCTTGATACTGTTTTGGTTGAGATCTTAAAAAATATCTATCTCCCTTAATAAGTTTGCAAATACTATATGATGGTTACCAGAACCCCACACAAATTGCAGTTGTTGATTTTAATGTTAATCAAATAAAGGAGATTAAAAAGCTGGTAAATTTCCTCATAAACAGAAAAGCTGTTATAGAACAATGTGATTAAGCATTTTATGGAGACGAGTGTGAGTGCATCAGTTAGTTTTATTACAAATTCTTGACATAAAATCTTGGTTTCCAGGAAAACAAATTGAGTAAATTATCCCAATTCTTCTGCTGCATCTCAAGCCTCCTATTTCCCTTCTCTGTCTGCTCATTATCAATTAAAATGTTGGCCTCTGTGTCTAAGAACTGCTGCCTGCTAAAGTATCAACTCCCTTCTGAATATGGCTTTATACAATCACTGTGTGCACAAATTTGGTAGGTAGCAATCCGAGCACATACTTGGATCATTACCTGAGAAGCGTGACCAGTGTTGGAAAGATCAAGGATATTCCTATGCATCTGAACAGCCAGTGCTTTCCCCATCGTCAGTTATGAAAAGAAAGAATAAGTAAACAGAAGACATTAGCCACTGTGATCTAAAATGATCTAAATTGCAATCTTTGCTCACAGTCTTCTTCCAGCAATTGATGTTACAGCAAACAGAGTCATCTTCTTTTTCTCCAGGAGAAACACTTCTGAAACACAGAAATATTTTAGAAATGAAACTCCACATTGTTTCTAGGTTACCTTAAGTGTTTTAACTTCTAATTAAGAAATTACAGTTCTGTAACAATGTTTCTCTTGAAATAGGACATTACCTAAATAGTGTTGCCAGATAAAATGTGGGGCACTCAGTTAAATTCAAATTTCAGAGAAACAATAGACAATTTTTTTAAGGATAAAATTGTTCTGAATGAATGTACACACTTAGACTCAAAATGTAGTATTGTTTATCTGAGATTAAAATTTAACTCAAAATTCTGTAATTTTATTTGCTAAATCTGGTAAGTCTCTACCTCAAATACGTCAGCCACAAAACAAGAAAAACAAACAGTCTGAAGCCTTGTAGGTAGGAAAGCAAAGAGAATGCTGACATTTTCTAATGCAATATTCAAAAATATTAACATGGATTACACTTACTGTGTCAAAATTTTGGCTTCTTCCTTCAGCATCCCTGTGATGCAAGTAAGAAACTAGGTGTTTGAGAAATCAGATTGAAGCTGACAATATTCAGTGAGGCACTGTGTTTTGATAGTTCCTCGCCATATCATTTTGTCTGAAAATTCTTTGTGCCTGGCTTTTTAGAAGACGCTTTCATACAGCAGGACATATCCATAACACAAGTTGTGTTTATTTCCAGAGATCCACCAATCAGAGAATACCTGTATCTGTCACAAAACAAAATGTTTCTAATTATATTATGTCAGTCATTCATCTTCCAACAATACCTCTGTTTATTAAAGGCATAGATCCCAATTGGATGTTGTCTCCCCCTGGGCATTACCCACTCCCTCCACTACATCCTCATCGGCTGATCATGAAGAATGAGCATCTTTATGAAAAGATATATTAGGTTCATGAAATCAATTTCACTACAATGTAAGTGTGCGTTTATCTTTTGTTATAAGAACAGGACCATGTATGTATGTAAAAGCAAGATTGGAAGAATAATCACCAACATATTAACAATGTTTATTAACATTTATGATTGTAAGATTTAAGGATTACATTATTTCTTTGTGTTTATTATTTAGCCTAGCTATATGTTTAACTTGAATCTCCTCTCTCTCTAAACACTTCAGATCATTTCTCAGCATGGTATATCAATCAGTTCCAAAGCAGAGCTTCTGAAACTTTATACTGCACATTGTTCAGGGAGCTTGTTGCAAATGCAGATTTGGGAACTCCCCACAAAGACTCTGGCTTAGTAAATCTAGGGGGCAAGATCTCTGAATCTGCATTTTGAACTCCCTTTCCATTTTAACCTATGTGGTCTGTGTGCCGCGTTAGAGGAACATTGACTTACAACCCTTTGGGGCAGCTTCTATAAAGCTTTAAGCATATGACCACCACTGAAACTTATTTTAACATTTGATGTCAGGATTCAGTAGTTTATTTTTTCCCAGCAGAATACAGACACACACTATCCCCTTCATTCTTTGGGTGGAAAGAGGGATATGGGACAGTTCATTATGATTTAGGTTTTATTTCTTCTGTTTCCTGGTGAGATTTTTGGGGGATATGTGTTTTTTTTTTCCATAGTAATGGAAAGTCCAGATGTAAGGTCTGAGATGTTAAGTGATTTTTTAAAACATCATATTTTTGTATGTATATCTTTGTAGTCAAAATTCCTGCTTCTACCTCAGCTGTCATGGACATCACCCACTCCTGTCCACACTGCCTGCAAGAGTTGCCAATTTCTTTATACTGTCATTCTTGTCCTTCACAATTCACTCTGCCCACTACAGCAGGGATAAGGTTTTGAAAGTGTAAATTGGATCATAAGCTTTTCTTAAAATGATCCAGTGGTGCACTCTAGAACTCAGAACAAACACTACTCTCTCATCCCGGCCTACAGAGCTCCCGTCTCCCTTTCTATCCCTTTCCTTTCAGCTCTAACGCATGAAAACAATTGTTTTGCAGTTGTTTTCTCAGAGCCACTCAGATAGGCTCCCTTTAAATGTTTTAGGGGATAGGGAGGCTATCCTCAATGATCACCCCATTTCTCTTCCAGCCCCTTCATTGCTTCCATGTGATACTTGATATAATTTGTGTGTTTCATGTTTCTGTCTTGCCTCGTTTACTGTAAAATACTTCTATTAAGGGAAATAATTGAATGTCTTATTCATCATCAATGTCCTGTGTCTAGTACAGTTTCTGGAACATAGTAAAACTTGTGTGCCTCTGTTCAGCAACTGAATGACTAAATTGGACCCCTGCTATGTGGCATTCTGGACAGTCAGAGAATCCAAGCTATGAGTTGCCCCCAGGATCCTGCAGGATTCTGAGCAAAGCTCTGGTGGCAGAAAACACAATTTCTTGACTTCTGAGCTCTTTGAGAAAGAGACAATTCCTGTAGTGGCTGAGAGCAACGTGGATGAGCTGTAGCCATCTAAACACAATCATCTAAACTAACAGTGACACTGTTCATCCTGTTTGCTTTCTGACTCCCGAACACAGACTAAAGATCCAGAAGAACAATAAAAAGCAGTCTTGTTGTTTTCCTAAAAGACCACACCAGGCGCGACAGCCTGCCGTAGAACCATGGCCTCTAATAAAACAACTGTCTTGGCTGTGGATCATCATTTGAATAAAAATCAAATGACTTAGGATCTGTCCAAAATGAAGGATGTTTTAATACTTTGTGTGTAAAAACACTGATATTTTGCTTCTTTTTTATTAAACAGATTTTATTATTTTTCAGAATCTTGTCAGCGTAATCATTTTATGGGCGAATGAAATATTTAGCCCTGCCGCTACAGGAGTTCTTTCCCAGCAATTACCTTGTGGCACTGTCGCTGTAATTAGGTTTCCGCCAAGGATTTTTCCCTGGGTCTGGGTAATAAATGAAATATGACTAGAATTTAAATTTGTCAATTACAAGCAAGCATAGTGCGTAAACACACAATGGTCATGAATTCCAAACCACGGGCTGTTGCTGGGGGGGTAGATGCTCTGAAAATTAAAATGGAAATAAAACTACTGACTGGCGAGCAAGAAGTGGCCCCCAAAGAAAGCAAATCTCCCCTAACACTCACGCTTGATTCTACCACACAGCGTGAGCTGTTGGTTACAAATCCTTTAGTGTGAGGCTGAAAACTCCAGACCAAGCAGTGGTTTTGCACAGGGCTCTGTTCTCCTGCCCTATGAACTATCTTTGAGGCCAGATCAAATGAATTTTGGATGTAGGAGGCTAGAGTACTGCTGTGTTATGCATCCTGATGGTGGACCTCTGAGCTTTTTACTCTGAGCTTCTCGAGGACTGCCGAATTTAGGGTTAAGATCTCCTGTCTCCTAGCATCTGCTGTTTTCATTGACCTGACTTCAATAACTGCTCCTGTGAGGCACTCTGCTGACCATCTCTTACGGAGGAAGTAGGAGTTGGCATTGTTGGAGACTGACAGACCATCTGTTTCATTAAAGCAACACCAAAGGAAAGCAATTTTCAAGTTTTCAACTGTAAGAGGTCCTGGGTAAGGAAAAAGGGGTCCTCTTTTTATAAATTTACCAAATGCCATGCATTTAGTATTCACACAATAAATCTTTCTTAAGTCTCTTTTGTGTCAGACACTGTGCTAAGTTTTAGGCATATTTTGGTAAGTCACTGATTATCACGGAGCCCATGGTCTGGAAGAGGAACAGACCAGAATTCACAGATCAGAAAAATAGAATAAATTCTAAGAAATGTATTGTTTGGTGATTTCATCATTGTGAAAATATCATAGAGTGTGCTTACATGAACTAAAACGGCTACAGCATCACTAGGTGATACATCTGATGGGTACTATTATACAGACATACGTTGGTATTCCTGCTGAAACTCATCAAATTTGCTACTTGACACATTATGATGTGAAAATTTTATCCTGGGACTCGTTTGTTTGCTACTCGATGCACAAGCTACAACTTGTGTCAGTTGCCTTGTGACTACTAAAATAATTTGTTTGGTACTCTTTTTTTTTTTTTTTTTTTTTTTTTTTTTTTTTTTTTGGTACTCATAAGGACTCTTGAGCCAGTTAACAGGTACCAAGATGTCACAGAAGGATGAGGCTGGAGATGGCTAGGGCCAGGCCATGACAGGCTGTGTAGGCTGTGTTAGGAGTTATGGTGTCTCTATTGACATCTGATGGAAACCACTAAAGGGTCTTACAGAGGTAGGGACGGAATGCTGGTGATTGATACAATGTTTATGGTTTAAAAGGTGACTTTGGCTTTATGAAAAGAAGGAATAAAGGCAAGAGGTCCAGTTTGGAGTAGCTTGCAATAGACCTTGCAGAAGACAAGAGTGTCTTATTTAAAATGGTGACAGAGGAGATGGAAACAAGATTAAAGCAATATACAGGTTGGAAAATCAGCATAGACTTGGTGGTGGAAGGATGACTTAGGTAGGCTCATGTGTTAATCATGACTTATAATTCCTTATTATAGCCTTTTGAAATATTTTAAACTTGAGAAAATTAAGGCTCAGAGAGAATCAACATCATACAGCAGGGCAGTAGCTGAGCTGCGTGCCTTCTTCATATTGTGCCCGAGGAAGGGAAATGAGAGACAAAAATAGACTATTGTACTTAATTCATGGCTTAACGTGAGCCAGAGAGTATTTGTTGAGAAAGAAACTTTTAAACAGTTTTCTGAAGAGAGCTGGTTTGAAGGGGAAAATATATTAACATGACATTCTTGCCAGTCTAATTCTTGTACCAGGAGCATAGTTTTGGAATTTGGGCTGGAACACTCAGAAGGGACTTTAAAGAAGGAACTAAAAGTGTCTAACAGCCTTGTATGTGCCACAGTGCATAAGCTGTACATCTTAGAGATATTTATGTAAGATATCTATGAAATAAGGATAGTTTAAGTATATATTCAGTAGGATTATGGCGAGGATTGCATTTGATCATCTAGGCAAAGGACTTGACACATTTATGTATGAATTTACTGTTTTTAAAGAAGAGGATAAATTACGTAGTTAGCTCAGAAAATGGATGGAACTGGGAATGTCTCTCTACTAAACCTTAAAATTCCTGGTACTTCCCAATTCTCTTTCCTAGGGTGTATTCAGGAATGACAAAAGAGAAAGTTGGCTTTCTGGGGTTCCCTGAAAATCTGAAAGATGTCCTGTAAGGCAGCTTTCAATAGATAGGTCTATTTTATTATTATTACTCTTTATAATGTATATTGTGTGCTTACAAGCCTCTGGGCATAATCATGGAGCAGGAATAGAATAAATAATATTCTTTTCTGTTTAATTCATGATTCTGACAAAATTAGAAGTGGAGATGGATCAGAAAGCCTAAACAAACAGTATCCCAAAGCCTGGATTCTTAGGCATAGGGAGATGAGGGCAGAACACTACTAAACCAGAACTGCAACTGGAGCAAAACAGATTATCTTAAGTAATCAGAGGAGCGAGAAAATGCTATGGAAAGCAACACATCCTTCTTCTCTAACCTCTTAAAGATCTCAGGCCTTAACTCATGTATCCAAGGGCTCCAATCCTAGCTGCACTGTCTGCTTTTGAAAACTTGAGCAAAGGACTGAAGGTCACAAAATTGATTACTTGCAGAACTGGATTCAGATACAAGTCTGATCTCAAGTTTTTAACCATTGCATATTGTTTATGAAGTGTTATGTTTTAGTTGTTTAAATATTTATCACACTACTGTGAATTCTT